GGTAATGAGATATGCGTTAGAGTGATGAGATCAAAAGTCTTTGTGTACGAGAATTGGGGAGATCTACGGCTGCACTAACCATTCACAGAAGTGTAGTACACTTTGTATATTAGTGTAGCTGATTAAAACCATTGTACACATGAAAAAAAACCCAGTAAAACTGGCTAATGGTAATCTATTCCATTTTATTTGATGTACAATAATTGTTTGTGATAATAAAAAACTTAACCTTTTAGAGCTACAGATGTTTCACAATTTACTATACGCAATTGTTTACATTAACAAGCAACATCATTTACTAATCATCGTCAACTGTGACGTCACAAATTTATGGACTACATATTACTGAGCAACGAACGAGTTTTGTTAGTTGCATAGTTGAATGGTAGAAAAGAAATAATGCAGCAGATTAATATTCTACTGTCCGATAGCACTTATCTGATTTTATCCACTACCTTACATAGAACAACTAGTCAGTCAGTCAGATGCAACGTAGAACTTCGTACGTAAGTACATCAGTTCATGTTGCCATACCACATCTGCACAGAGATGTAATTGTCAATTCAAATCCAATAGTAGTAGAGGTAGTTAAGGTATTAGAAGTAATCGGAGAGGTTAGGATTAGAAGATATTATTCAAGAAATATGATTCAGTGAGAAAAGTTTAGAGAGTCAAAACTAGAGGTTTTGAAGAATCCAGAAGATTAGGGTTAGAACAACTAGTATTTAAAAAAAAAAAGAATAGAATCGACAAAGAAAGTGAGCAAAAACACACATTACATAAACTCACTTCATAAGGCCAAGTGGATTGCATTGAACGAGGAAATAGATCTAACAAATAATCCATCATTCCATGTTTAACATGCATATTCATGTTACATTGATTGTTGACATTTGAAATCTTTTGATTTTTTACATAATAACAATTAGTTTTTGATGATGACGACGAAGATAATGATGATGATGCATTGAGAAATTGTTCTAAATAAGTAATTAATTCAGATCGTGTAGAGCATGGATGTAACATTTCAAAGAATATTACACCTAAACTATAAATATCAACCTATTTTTGATCAAGTAAATAATAATAATAATGAATAAAAGAATAATTAGTGTTTGGAAGACGGTTTAAAAATAATTAAATAACATTTGAAATGGATCTGTTAACGGGAAAATTATATATATTACAAGCTTAGTATATCACAGAACGATAATTTTTAACTCTTCACTATTGAACACATTCGTGGTTATTTGAAATAAAACAGTTTAAATAACAACATGGGAAGTTTCACTGTGAGTATGCAGTTGATGAGTTTGAAAAAAAGGGTGATACGTACTTATCGAGTTCCACTGTTAGTTACTGTTGAAACGCTTGCTTATATAATTCCCAGCTAAATCCTATTGCTTAGTATTCTCTGACTACAATACACTGGACAAGTTCCCAAGAATCAAAACACGGTTGAACAGGAAAAGATTATATTCAAAATAGCAAGGTTAAATGGAAATAAGAAGCCAAAGGTGATGGCAAAAGGCAAAAATAGATACAACGTTAATTTATTTATAACATTTACATGAGAAGCTTCTGGATAGAAATTCACGTGATCGAATGGATTAGATTTAACCAATCAGCATGCAGCTAACAGTACGCAAATTATCTACCCTGTTCTCCAAGAATCGATCAGGCACTGATTGGATAGGAAATTAGCCAATCAGCGCGTAGCAACGTAGTCATGCCTTAACTCCATCTATGTCCCACTAACAGCTACCATTCATTTATTTTATAAAATCAATATATCACAATTTATTTAGTCGAGGATAGGTGGAAAGCACAGTGAGTTTAGAAGTTGAAACATTTGACTCCTAACTAATAAGTAGGAGTTATAAGAATTTACTTCACTGAATAAAAAGATTATTAGATCTGACAGGCGAACACCATGTATACAGAGCTGTTTAAAGCTGAGTTCATGAATTTATATTTAGCAAAATTAATATTAATTTGGTTCATGCAATTGGACACAGGTGTTAATCAACAAATAATAAGTGTAATTATCATACTATGTACTATAGTTACGCGTAAGTTCCAATTGAGAAGACTGAGGCAGGCGTGGAAGATTGTATTATACAAATTTACACTCTTAGTCAATTAAAAACGAAAACATTACATTGAACACTCTATTTGCACACCATCTTTGAGTCGTGACTTCCAACACTCCCTCATTCTTCCATTCCTGCTGTTGCTTCCTTTACTTGTTGTTGGTACTCCATTTACTTCTTGCTTTTGCTCGATTTGCTTTCCGTTTTCCTCTTCTGACCGTGAGACTTCTTTCACGTCCCTTCTTATACTACTTATATCGTTCGTATAAGTAGCACACACCCCACAATGACATTCATTAATTTAAGTTTATAATTCATAACAAATGAAAAGTATACTATAGTGTACTATATATACATCAAATTTGTTTTACAAACCTTATAATTATACAATGTACGTTGATTTGATTTAGTTAAACAATAATTTTGAACTTCTGGTGCAGTATAAATAGAACTTCCTAAATTAGCAGTTAAATAAAACATAGTTTGTGGTGTGGATACTGTTGCTAGTGGTTTATATGATGATAATGATAAATGTTTTCTGTCAGAATCCGCATTTAACTGATTTGTATTACTATGATCAAACGAATTCATTATGGATTCATGATTAAATTTCATTTTATTTTGTTGTCGGTTATTGTGATTAGGATTTATAATGGATTCATCATTTTCAGATAAATTACTGAAATCGTAAAGAAAAAATAAAATAAAACAACTTATTTTTTGGAATATTTTATGTTATTGGTTAACATTTAGAAGGTTAATGCATTGAAATAGTTAATAATAATTGTATGAACATGTTACGCTCGTCTTTAGGTATGCTTAAACTACTACGAAGTCACTTTAGTCGAATAACGAGAACAAAACAATGAGCCAGTGTCCAGGTAGGCTATTGTGATCCCTTGACCAAATTGAATCAAAAAGAAGTCTTGATAGAGTGTAGAAATTGTATTCTACAAACACCCAGCCAGTCACAAAATAGCACACTAAAATGACACAGTAACCAATCACAGCCAAGGATTCTCCTAGTGGGAAATGTGATCTCAAGGTCAACTGATCGGACCATGAAATAAATCCAAAATAAAGATATTTATCAAGCGAGTTCTGGGGATCTAACATCCCCAACAGAACAATAAAAATTCATAAAATATACATTTATCCAATATGATTTACACCATAAAATATTTACAACTGAAGTGTATACATGGATTTTTTCGGGGTTGACATTCAATGGACTTTAATTACTTTTTTTTTATTAGACCTAACAGTGAATTTTGAGAATATGTCGGTTAGATAGTGATTGGTTTGAGTATTATAGAAATATTAGGCACACACTTTTTTGGCTTGAATACATACATGGTTCAAAACAAAGTTTCCTGAGTTGTAACTACATTCCAGTTTGAATCTAAACTGGTGAGAACGTGGTTACTATCATTTTTTAAATTATCAAAACTAGTGAGTGACAAATTTGAGGTGTGTAAAAAATTGTTCATCTATGCAGGACTGGGGTATGGATAATAAATCTTGACACCAGTGGTTCACGAATTAGTAATAGTGTGTAATGGAATTACTGCCATTACATATTATCACATTGATACCGAGTAAATACAACTGTGATCACAGTTAATTTATTATAATGCTCGACAATATATTATGTATAATAAAGGTAAATAATCACATGCAACTAGGTAAGATCGATTTAAAAAATAATAATAATGTGAAGACTTTAACCAATCAAGTTTATCATCTATTAATCAGAACCGGATCAATCATTGATAAGTGCATATCGATTAATTATACAAGGCTTAGTGTTTATCTGTATGGAATTCAGTTAAATACTATATGTAGTTGCTCATGGCACCGAAAAGATATTTTAGTTGTCGAGCTTTGATTGGTCTTCTGAACAACAACAACATCGTCAGCACAAACTTCAGGTAGATGTGAAGTATTCGAATTTATCCACATAAGATTTGCAGCTTCCCCTGTTGACCTCAACCTAGATTGGTTGTTATTGACCTCTAACTAGTCATTGTCTGCTTCTTTATTTTGAGTGTATCCCCTTTTGATTTGGTTCTCGATCTCATGCTTGCCTATGATTTTTCTGATTGGTCGCTAAATTAGACTGATTACTGATTGAATTGAGTGTCAAGCTTGTAAAAATTCTCTGGTGTTCTTTGTATTTCCTCTATCCAGTATCTCAACATTTTTTCAATTGAATTTGATAGTTTTCAATCAAAACAATCAGTAATAATTTAGTTAGTACTCTTGATTTTAATTGGTTGCAAGGAATAGGTATAATACTCGTCATCAGCCGGACAGGATCTGCAATCTTGAGAGGACTGATGCTTTACGTGGAGTTTACATCACTGTCAGACAGGTTACCACGGAACAACTGTACGAGTCATCAACATCACACATATACGTGCACATTTCATGAGAACCAAAGAATGTATAATAAAATAATTGTGCACAACTCTGAAGTCTGAAAGAATTAGTATTTGAAGAAACGATATAACTATATAGCTTTGAAAAGCTGGGCCAATCAATTGCGTGAATGGAAGGTCAAATGATAGATGTGAGATACTGATAGGCGCACACTATTGGTCGAAATTCAGCCTAACTTTCTGAGTAACATATTAACACTAATGAATGAATGTGTTTGTGGATATATTTTGAATCAGATCAGTCAATACAAGCTTCTCAGTCACTCTTGGTCTTTCCATCAAAACAGCAGGTTGGGCTTGTATGTAGGAAGCTCATATAAAAGTAGCACAATTGGAAGACTGATCAATGCAATAGAGTTTGTAATGACACTGGATCTATGATCAATTGAATTGTTGCAAAAATGAAAAACACTTACTCTGAAGAATATTGTGAACTATTTTTAAATTGTATTAAACTATCCGAATCGGTACTTCGACTAGATGATGGGGATGTTGACAATATCAATGAGGATGGATTCTCGTCATCATCATCATCGTTATCATCATCATCATGATGAGCGCTAGGAAATGAACTAGTTTCACCAAATAATACAGGTTGATTTGATTGTGATAAAGTTAATCTCTTGAAATAGGATGTGAATTTCGATTTATTGGCATCCATATGATTTTGTACATGTATGTTTTTATTAAATGGTTGAAAATTGTCTGGAAAAAAAACAAATACAAAAGAAGATTGCGAGAAATGCATATGAAGCGAAATTTTGAAAAAAAGATACTAACAACTAGTTGTGTGTGATCAGGCTGCTGAGTTGGCTTACTCGCCAAGATTACATGTATGCCTTGTTAGCTATTGAGTCTAGATAGTCATCAACATGTTCGTTCAGTCAGTGGTTCGGTAGTTATTTAAACTATAATTAAGTTTTTTTTCGATTAGACTTATGGAGATCAGTGTTTTTGACACACTGAAATCTATAGATTGATCAGAGTTTGACATTAACACCGTTGGATGCCGACCCAGTGTTCCAGAGGTTAGCCGTTCACACCACAAGACCGAAGGTCCTGGGTTCGAATCCTGCGAATAGCAGGAGTCATGGATGTGCACTACCGATAAGTTCCATACCTGGACGAAACGGCCGTTTAATGCTTTCAGGTTTCTAATGGTGCCAAGTAATGTACAATCTCCCCTGACGATCAGAGAAAGAGGAAGATAAAAGAAACATTATGGTAGTACTTTATGAGTTTCGCAATAATCAGAGTCATGATAAGTTGTAAACATTTTATGAGGTTGTGTGATAACAGACAGTTACCGGACCATAACTGATAAACTAAAACAATTCCAGAACAGGAGAATTTAGGATAATGAAATAATATTAGGAAGAATGGTGGACTAGATGTTTCATTGAGTCGATATAAAGTTGCTACATAACTTATATCAAGATTTATTGATATATACAGAAACATAAATCTCGAACACCAGACTGATACTGATTGGATATGATTTGATAATCATAATTATTAGAATACTCCTTTACCGAACATCAACATTTATCAAACGAAAGGTACGGCATCAGTCCATGAAGTTAATAACCATAGGTTTGAGCCATATTTTTTTAGCTGCAATCAGCGGTTACCTTTCACTTTTTATATCCCACTAGATTTTCCTTTCCAATATTCTCTCTTAGACACCTTTAACCACATTGTTTTTAATCTTTAACTTTTTGATGCTCATTCATTCTGATGGTGACTACATTATCATCTCGGTCTATTATGTAACTCTACTAGTTATTTTCTATTTCGTCGTGTTAATACGATATAGTAACTTGAGTCCTGGGACACCCGAGTGAACAACGCTGTTATTAGGAAACGGGTGCTAGGTAAGAATGGCAGATCAATAGATGAAGTAATGAAACTTCATCAGTTGAGGTGGTTGGGACATGTGTTACGTATGCCTAACGACAGACTGCCTCGAGGAGCTTTGTTTTGTAGTGTAGGAATAGGTTAGAAGAAAGTTAGGGGCGGTCAGAACAAAACATAGCAGAAATACATGAAGTCATTGACAAGTGGACTGAGTCATGTCGGTAGGTGTCGACTACCTGGTTGGGGTCCGCGAGATGATAATAATCGATGGTTAGAGACTTTGAATGACATGGCTCAAAATCGTTTGCAATGGCGCCGGTGCATTTATTCTTTGTGTTCTCTCTTCAACACCCCTAGTTTTGACTTTTCTCACTGAATCATATTTCTTGAATAATACCTTCTAATCCTAACCTCTCCGATTACTTCTAATACCTTTACTACCTCTTCTACTATTGGATTTGAATTGACAATTACATCTCTGTGTGTGCTAATGTGGTATGGCAACATGAACTGATGTACTTACGTACGAAGTCCTACGTTGCATCTGACCGACTGACTGAGTAACTTGAGTCAAAAGCACATCCATGCCAGAGCCCTATAATGGTGGTGATGATAACTAACAGTTGACTTTTAGAAGTATTGATTGTAAAACTACTACTGTTCGGTGAAATAAACACAATATACGGTTAAAATAAGCTTCTGAATAATCAAAGGAAAATAAGTTCGAAATTATTCTTTACAGTACAATATAGGTGGTAATAATAATAATAATAATACGAAGAGGCATACCAAGTCAAATTATAGCGTTTGGTATTTAAGTATCCTACATAATAACGTACATTATTGATTTATTTCAGTTTAGTTGGTATTTTATTATCTTGTATACAACTCAAGATTAAAAAAAAAGTATTATTAATATGTGTAGAAAATACTTGATTCAGTTGAGTTGTAAACGAGATAATAAAATACCAACAATCAGTTAAAATTGTTTAAATTTGTCTACAATGTTTTTGTTTGACGAGAACAATCTATATTTAATAAAATGAAGACCATCTATTTACTTCGAGATTTAAGGTGGCTTATTGGAAGTAATCAACAAGAAAATCTGTCAGTAAGGTATATCTTTAATCTTGAGATTGATACTCCCTGGTGAATTCGAACCCCATATCACCCAGCTTCACAGTCAGGGATTCTTACCACCGAAGTGTTTGGGCTGCAACTGATCAGTGTACTACGAAGGACTTGACATATATGATACTTCTTGGGAGAGGTGCTTTACTGGTATTCTATAACTGGTTAACTTGAAGAGAAATGTACTTGTGATTATTTGTGTTATATATTTTACAGTTAGAACGAAAACAAATAACGTATAAAGTAAAAAGCCTGCACAGAAAACTTACTTATAAAGACCCTGCTAAAAAGGGGACAGTGTGTTAGATCGGGATAAATGCGAAATTATGTTTTGATATAGTGAGATGTCTAATCAGTATAACATCCGTCTTAATACAGCGTAATATTTATTCCGTGAGATTTGTTTGTATGAGATCAGTGTGATGTATACTTAACAAAACAAATGACTGCTTAATTCCAGTATGAAATTGAAACTGTATTCCAACCATTTGAGTAATGGATGACAGTGATTGATTGACCAGGTATCGAGTATCACGAAAGTTTCAATTTTGATGAATTTATTTGGTTATTATCTTTTAACCTGTGTCATGAAAATATCAGTTAACACAAGCTCCAAGTAAAGTTTTTACACATACTGTTACGCCTGCACGTAAACACGTCAACTTGATATGCTTGAACTATTGTGAGTTTACCTAGTCAGAAAACGAGAGCGAGGACCGAGGATCCGGCGACACGACATGCTACTCAAATCCGATTATCCCAACCCCCATACTTAGTAAAATTAAGAAGACGTGATATGAAGTAGAACCTGTATTCTACAAGCATCCAGAAAGTATGAGGTCCGAGTTCAGAAGAGAATCAGGATCCCGGACTAGGGATCCGGGACCGAGCCCTCGTCCTGGTCGTGGTCATAAAACGTTACAGATAATGCGTATATATATATTTCGGTCGAATAGGGAACAGCATCGAAGTCTGTGACATTGACAGTTAAGAAGACCAATAGGAAGCAACATTAGGAGTGACATTGGTAGCCAGGACAACCAACAAGAAACAACATTGGCGCACGTGACATTGATATCTAGGACGACCATAAAATTGACCAGTAGGAATTAACCAATAATTCTCTTAGGATATTGGATGAATATCCTAACACATACAAAAGCTTGTGACAAGGTAATTGCATATCTTGTTTGTATAAACAGTGAAGAGACCATTTCCCTCGTTTAAAGTAGTTATAATCGCATTTGTATGAGCTGAAATATACTCTCTTGGCGTTCACTTTAATGTGGTATTTCAGGAAACAACTTGCGGCGCCATTGACTTGGAGGCCTATTCCACAAAGCAGTGGAGGAACATCAGGAGATGCAGTTTATTAATAAACAGTAACCAAAGTGGGTTCATCTGTTATTAGTTCCTTCAGGATTCTGAAGGTCATATGTAAACCCTCTAGATTGGACTGCAGTATTTACCAATAAAGCTTAAGAACTGGATGTTTGTTTGACTTTCATATCATTACTCCAAACCGGCATCTTTTGCTCTAAATAAATAACGCATTATTATTCACTGAAGTACTATTAACTTCTCGTAATGAATAATAATTTAAACTCTTTACTAATAATGATCACAGTAACAAACTGCAAGAAAAAAACAAACATTGTTATACCTGATGGATAATCTAACAGTATTCTAGCTAATCCAAAATCACATATTTTCACAATTAATTGATGATAACAATTGGATAATGCATTAACAATTGGATGCATACAATTATTATCATCAATAGTTGTTGATAAAGAGCAAGATGAAGACAAATTGGCCGAGTTTTCTTTTTCATTTTCAGTATATTTATGTGATAATGGTTGGTTAACAATACATGCACATGGAATATTAGATAGTGAATGCAGTGGTGGTCCACATATCAGAACATTTTCTGGCTAGAAAATAAAATGAAATTAAGTAGTTCGAATAAATTGAATAGTTGTTATGTAAAGACTAGAAGAACCATTGAAAAAAGAACAAACAACAGTTGTATAACAAAAGTAACGAAAAATAATAGCGAATGGATCGAAGTTAGAAATCTTAACCACTACACAGATACAGAAGCAACGCAGAACTTCGTACGTAAGTACATCAGTTCAGGCTGCCATGCCCCATCAGCACAGAGACGTAACTGTCAGTTCAAATCCAATAGTGATAGCGATAGTAGAAGTATTAGCAGTAATGGAGAAGATTAGGGTACGAAGATATGATTCGGGAAGTTTAATTCAGCGAGATAACTTTAGAAAGAGAAAAATAGGAATGATGAGAAAGTCAGATGGTTAGAATTTGAGAGAACACAAAGAGTGGATGCACTTGCGCCATTGCAAACGATTTAAGGTCTCTAACCATCGGTGACTTTCGTAATCTTAACCACTGGATACAAGCTCATCAGTCTAAAGGTTAAGTATTTGCCAAGAGACTGGAATGTTTTGGATTTAATTTCCGGTGGGATAATTGATTGGCACTGTTAAGAAATCTCCTAATAGGATGTGAAACAGGTGTTCAATGTCTCTTTGTGTTTCATGTTCGTCTGACTTAGATCAGTTCGTGATCTTAATATCATTCAACAATATTCATAAAACCTCTGAATTCTAATAATTTCAAAGTTATTGAATGGAAACTACGAAACAAGTTGGTGTATTACTGTTAGGATATTCACCAAATATCCTAAGAGTACTATTTTTGGAAGTATCATCCTATTGGTCGATTTATATTGGTCAAAATTATGATCGTTTTAACTGTCAAAGTCAAATATTTTAATGTTGTCTCTTATTGGTCATCCGGACTGTCAATATCATTTCAAATATTCTTTCCTATTGGCCGTCCTAAACTGTCAATGTCACAGACGTTGATGCTCTTTTCCTATTCGACCTAAATGTATAAATACGCACTATCTGTAAGATTTCATGATTCCGTTCCTTCCTGACTTCCTCTCTACTGTACTCGACCCAATAAACAACTCCATCCAACGGTGTTGCGTTCTGATATATAGGAGATTGGGAATAGCATTAGGGTCGTATTGGAATATTTGTATTCGGACGTTGGTAGGATTTGAATAGCTACGTAGCAGAATGATAACAATAACCTAGTTCCCAATGATTATTTACAGGAGTAGAAACTTTCAATTAGGAGTTAGCAAAGACTTAAACTTTCTACTTTGAGGTATTTATAGTGTAAATACTGAAATCAACTAGGAAATTCTTTTCATAGTCTACAGACTTACTTTAAGATCACGATGAATTACATTTTCAGAATGTAAATATGCAACACCTGAAATTATTTGATCCATTAACCAACGAACAGGAGCACGTTGAACTGTTTCATATGAAAGAGGTGAGATATTCAGTTGGGTACTAGAAGTAGGAGTAGTAATAGACTGTAAATTATTTCTATACTGTAACCAATCTGCTAAATTATATTGACATAGCTCTAATTGAATGCAAAGAATCGGTCGTTGAATACATATACCAGGATGTGATTTATCCTAGAAAAAAAAAGTTGAATAAGAAGAAAAAGGTAAGCAAAAGATGATGAACATTAACGTTTTATTAATAAATTATGCTTCAAAATAAATAGTTCCATCAGTTTCATGCAATTAGATTCCTCTAGAAATCTGGACAAAATAGGAGTCGAAATGATTTCCAAAGAATTACCAACAAGTTTATTTAAAGTTAATCATTCTTTATCAACAATGAGCTTGACAAAAATGTGTCTTGACACATACTATCATACCATATTGGCATGACGGGATGAAATCAGCAAAAATGAACATTGAAGGAATTAAAATAATGAACCATGTAATCCAATGTTTTGAATCACTGATTGCGGTAATTGAATAGTAGTCTGTATCGATTATCATCACGGTTCAGGCTGAGTTAATGATTTCAATGGACTGATACTATCGTGTTTCAGTCAGTCAGTTGCAACGTAGAACTTCGTACGTATGTACATAAGTTCATGTTGCCATACCACTACATTAGCACAGAGACGCAAATGTCAAATCAAATCCATAGTGATAAAGATAGTAGAGGTATTAATGTTAATAAAGAAGACTAGAGTTCGAAGATATTATTCAGAAAATATAATTCAGTGAGATAAAATTATAAAGAAAAAGGCAGAGGTATTGACGAATCCAGAAGATTAGGATTTGAGAGAGCTCAAAGAGTGGATGCACCTGCGCCATTGCAAACGATTTTGAGCCATGTAGTTCAAGGTCTCTAACCATTGATGACTTTCGTCTCGCGGACCCCAACCAGGTAGTCTACATCTACCAACATGACTCAGTCCACTTGTCAGTGACTTCATGGATTTCTGCCATGTTTTGGTTTGGCCGCCCCTAACTTTCTTCCAACCTGTTCCTATACTACAAAACAAAGCTCGTCGAGGCAGTTGGTGGTTAGGCATACGCAGCACATGTCCCAACCACCTCAACTGATGAAGTTTCATTACTTCATCTATTGATCTGCCATTCTTACCTAGTACCCGTTTCCTAATAACAGCGTTGCTCACTCAGGTGTCCAGCGATATACGAGCAATGCTTCGAAGACACCTATGATCGAAAACCAATAACCTATGAATATCTTCTACTCTCACTGACCATGTTTCACAGCCATAAAGACGGAGCGAACTACTGCACAGTACACTCGTCCTTTAGTCAACAAACGGATATCTCGCCTTCGCTATAAGTGACGCAGGTTAGCAAACGCCAGTCGAGCCTTCTGTATCCGTGCTGAGATTTCGTCAGTCACCAGGCCATCAGCACTGATGAGACTCCCAAGATAAGTGAAAGGTAGTAATGTTGCAGATATTATTTATCAGAAGGAAACATTAACCTACCAACAGACCTTAGAACATTAAGCAGTATCATTTTTCTCCTATACCATAAGTTGGCTGATATTAATTTTATCATTCTAAAACTAACCAGCATGAGGTGGTAAGAACTAGGAGGACAAGTATTTTGGCCCACACAGCTTGATTGAATCATTACGATAGGGAAGCCTGACCATCTAATTACGGTAGCAATTATAGTCGGGAAAAAACTAATCATTATTACTGGTACGCTTTGGCTCAGCTTGAACTATGCACTTAAGTCAAATACCAATTATTCATTATGAACACTAAATCTACCAGGAATATTTATCAGTTCAATGTGTAATAAATAGTCTATTACTATTCATCATGAATCATTAATAACAATACAACTAGTTCAACAATATTTAGAGGTTTCAGAAATGAAGATACCAAGATATAACTACACAACACAACGAATGAATTTCTTTTTAATAAAAGTACAGTGTATACCTAGTTAGATAAGTTAATAACTATACCCCCTTAAAAAAATAAATAAACTTACAAAATGATTAACAGGAATTAATGCTTTATTAGGAATTAATGCTTTGATGTCTGAAGTGTCAATTTTTAAATTATTTCTACGTTTTTTCTTTCGTTTTCCATTTGGCGGTAATAATCCATTGATTTTTGAATTTTCATCAAACGAAGATTTAACAGGACTAAGATTATTTCTAGATTTTATATGTTTTATATTTACAACGTTTGATGGATGAGTTAAATAATTACTACGTAAAAATTGACAAAAAATAAAGAAAAGATACTAAGAAATAATAATCAGACGAGAGAATAAATTAAGAGTTATACATTTGTGTTAATTAATTCAGATAAAAATTAACTAATTATAAAAAATCATAAGTATATGTAATCATTGAGGTATTCTTTAACTCAGGAGTTAATCCGGTTAAATCTTATCGTAAAGCAAACTCGTGTTACTTATAGCGTATGAGGGATGTCCATCTGTCAACCAAAGAATGAATCTATTGTTCAGAAGTCCGCTTTGTATTGCTCTATGGCTGTGAGACATGGTCTTTAAAAGTGGGAGACATGTATAGGTTGAAGGGCTGTGATGATAGGTGCCTTCTAAGTAATGCTCATATATACTGGGACTATAGTGTAAGCAGTGTCGAAAGTTAAATGCAAGTTATTAGGTGAAGATAACAAATCGTTTGGTGAGGTTTTGAATGTGGTTAGGGGATAAGCAATGCATGATTAATCAAATCCTGATCTTCCGGATTCGTCAGAACCTCTACCTTTGTCTTTCTAACCTTATCTCACTGAATTATACTTCTTGAATAATATCTTCAAACCCTAGTCTTCTTCATTACCATTAATACCTCTACTATCTCTATCACTTGGGATTTGATTTGACATTTGCGTCTCTGTGCTAATGTGGTATGGCAACCTGAACTTATGTACATACGTACGAAGTTCTACGTTGCAACTGACTGATTAATCACCGTCAACCTCGACTCACTATGATTGTTGGTGTAGGATTAGGTTGAAAAAAAGCTAGAGGCGACCGATCAAAGAAGTGGCATCAGTTGATGAAGTCACTGATTGTTGGTAGATGTAGACTATTCAGTTGGGGGTACAACAGCTACCACGACCAGTGGTTGGAGACGCTGTATGACATGACTCTAGGTTGGTCACCACAGTGATACTCACATATTCGTTATTGATCTCTTTATAGATTTGAAGCTCTTGTAATCCTTCATATATAACCTTTTTCATTTTGTCGTTTTTGAATCATATTCTCATATGTTTAATCTTCTTCATTATTGTTGCTACTAAAGTATTTTTACTCCTGTATTATTCACAACCTAATTTTATCTTTTCGCGCTAATATGATGCGGCAACTTATAATACTAAGGCATATTTGTGTAAAACATTACATTGATTATGACTGACTGAAATTATCTTTTGCCGATCTCAATTTCGATTATCACTACTTGTTAGAATTTAAATTCATAGATAAGGTTCGACTGAATGTTTGTACTTTAACATACCTAAATAGTAAATCTATGAAACACTTTCGTAGATAACCAATACAGAAAATTTGATACAAAAAAATGCTTACTTAGTACGTGTTGAAGTAAGGTTACAATTGGATGCCTGAAGATACAAAAAAGGATTGGAAATTTTCGGTAAAGATTCAAACATATGACTGATCATTCAATGCACTGAATGCTTTCGACGTGCTACGTATGCCTAACTACCGATTGCCTCGATGAGCAGGTTGGAAGAAAGCTAGAGGTGGCCAAACGAGAACATGGCACAAATCCATGAAATCACTGAAAAGTGGACTGAGTCATGTTGGTAGATATGGGCTACTTGGTTGGAGTCCGCGAGACGAAAGTTACCAATGGTTAGAGACCTTGAAAGACATGGCTCAGAATCGTTTACAATGGCACAGGTGCATTCATTCGTTGTGTTCTTTTTAATTCTAACCTTCTGAATTCCTCACCTCCATCTTTCTCTTTATAAATTTATCTCACCGAATTATACCCTAATCTTCTCCATTAGCAGTAATACTTCTACTATCTCTACCACTATGGGATTTGAATTGACAATTGCGTCTCTGTGCTGATGCTGTATGGCAACCTGAACTGATGTACATACTTACGAAGTTCTGTGTTGTATCTTTTTATTTGTTTTCTGACGTGAATTGCAGTTTTTAGGTATCACAGGTCTCAATCAGTTTGTGTTTTTGCCATTATCAACATTCATCAGGTTCGGAGTTGATTCAAATGAATTTTCATGCATCAGTTAACTTAGCTGGATGCCACAGTGTGACGCAGTGAGACAAAGATTATAAGATGGTAGGTTATTCGATCAGTAATGTCACACCATTGTAGGAAGTTGGCTTTTAAGAAAATCTATCTTGATATAATTAAAACAATCACTGCAAATAATAAAAATGACAACTTCATCGATAAGTACATCGTAAAACAGTAATCAGGCATGTAGCACATGTGAAATAAGAAGCACAAGGGAATAATTACATACTTATTTCTCATGAATATAGTTGTGAAATGCTCACCTGACTGTTGCCTTCAACAGATATCCATTCGTAATCTACCCAAGAAGTAATATATTTAACAATGTTAACATGATTCAGTCGCGACATTGTATACACTTCTGACCTAGCAAGCTCCTAGTAAATATAAAACAAAATAACGAACTGAATTGGTTGTAAACACATAATGTCTATCTTTTACTGTAACAAAATCACGATTAGACAAAATTTAAAACCAGAAGGAAAAATGACATATTTTTCATAATATTATTTTGTCTAAACGACATTAGTTTTGGTGAAAGATGGCTTTACAAACGAAAAACAGGTTGAAAACGGGACAAATTGATAGAATTCCGATGTAGACTTATCATCTGAATATCTTGACAAAACTGTCTTGCCTGATACCATAACCCGTAGTTTATGAATTCTCACAATTCAATAGAATTTATACAGCTTTTAAACTAAAAAAGTTGGAAATTTTCATGATAGACATATGTAATATACAGTCTTAAAGTCCTGAGTTTCAAATCAGCTAAAATAAAACCAACAAAGAAGTGGAAAAGAAAAGAAACGGGCGAAATCCATAAATGAAATGTACTGAACATGACAATATTTGGAGGCTAAGAGAAAATAAAGTGTGGGTGTAAACTGTGATAAGATTTTAAAAATGTCACGAAAATTCTAAAAGCACTAACTACGCTGGTTTCACAGTCCCCTCCCCAATAGTAGTAGTAAAATGTACATTTAGATGACCTTTAAAAAAAATTGATTTTGTACCAGGTAAATACTTCTATAATTTTTTTAATCTCGAGACTAGTTGAAAGACTAAACTTGTGCTGAAAAGACTGTGTAGTAAGCACTTACCACCGGGTTAATGTGTTTAAGGTTTGTCGCACCATCTTTTTATTTATCGGTCAAACTGATGAGCTTACTTGTATGTGAGAAACTGTACGGTAGAGTACATATAGTGTCACAGTGATTAGTTGTATTTTGAGTCTAATTATATTAAAAGTAGTAATCTTGACTGACATTATTTTCACAAGCTATGAAGTATCTTCTTGGTGCAACCATCAACAACATTGCATTAGTCAGTTTAGTGTCAGGAAACCCAGTCTCTTCTAAACTGACATAGCAATCTAACAAACTGTTTTATAGGTTTAGTTGAGATTGGAGTAACTTGGTAGAATTTTAATCCAAACAAACTGAAAAGATGTTGAAAAAAATAGCAGGTTGGTACATATGAATTCAAAGCTCAAAAAAACCTGACATGAGAGGCAGTGTTGTACAATTGAGGGAACTTATGAACTGACAAAAGTCTACTTCTGGAACTTAACCAGTCGAAACTTCACTCCATGAACATTATGCTCTTTACGACACAAATAACTTACGTTCTCAAAGGAGATCCACTCCCAGATGTCTCTTTAGGGTGCGATGTCGGTCTAATAGTCCCAGAGAGCCTGGATAAAAGTTCAAACTACATAGGGGGTGTATGCAAGTCTTACGCAAATCTTCACTTTATGTGAACACAATTCAGTTCAATCACCACAATTTTTCTTAATTCTTTTTAAAACATACGCACGGCCATACCGAGGTTTACAATGCTGTCGCACCATCTCTCCTTAAAAGAGACTTGGGTCTACTGGACTGAGTGCAGAGACAAAGAACTAAAAGAATAAGCCTGACAAAGACATACTACTTCCCTCTGAGTTATAGGAGAATCACATGCGATCTGATAGTGGCACACAACATATTAAGTATTCGGAATCATCCCAAAATAAGCACCTTGCCAAAACATTACTAGCACGTATCTCGAAAAATTGCACATCAAGAAGCGAATACCTAGACAAGTATCCACTTTTTCTCATCCAGATTTGTCGCAACTAAGAATGCAGTTATCGTGGTTATTTCTTCAGACCATCAACTCATTCTGTCTCGCTTATTATCTGTTTCCTCTCCCTTGATTACACTTCTATCCTCTCACAATCTTCACTACTATTTCAGTAATTTGTTTATTTATTTTCATAGATCTGAAAAATTCTCCTTAGCATCGGCATTTCATCCATATGATTCTTAAAACTGAAAATAAGTGATCTCCGGACTGATAATGTGATAGCTGCTGGTATCCAGAAATCCCAGTGCCCTGAGACAAACGCAGTCACTCAAATCACGGGACAAACAAACTCACAAACAACTGCCAACTGACTAAACTTGGTGTAGCTGAGTAGATAGACTACTATCGATTGAACCTTGCCAGCTACTTGGAGCCGTACCAAAACAACAAGAAACAATAGCATGCAATCTCGTAATAATGAAACTTACGAGTGTATCTCTCGAACGTGACCCAGAAATTACTTTTACTGCGTAGGTTTTACTGTCAATTTTGTGCCTAGCCTAAAATGATAGCTATTATGCACGTGAGCGTAATATACCTTGTAAACTGTTCCAAAACCACCATCTCCGATATATACAAGTGGGTCGAAATTGTCGAAAAGATATTGATTTCGAATACAGCTTAAGAACCTGAAGATGATAGAATATTAATTAAAACTGAAACCTTGGGAATGAACTCTAAGAATATTTTACAGCGAAAATGATTTACCAATGACAGTAAAAGCTCAGAAGCTAGATCCGGTTTATATTTACGCAATATTTCCAATAGGCGCGACAGATTCCTGCCAGTCTCCTCATCTTCTTGCAGTGTGTATTTCCTTTTCTTTCCTATATAAAATATACAAAAGAACAACTCGCAGCTTACGATCATACACGAGTATCGAACCTGGGGACCTAGACATTTTATGAGTGTTACAGCCTTCCGACAACCTTGACTGTGGCAACAGATGAATATAAACACAAGTTATGCACCAAAAGGTTGTTGTAAACGAACCTAAAACTAAAATCTTGAAGATGTTTCTTGTATACGAAAATAGAAAAGCACTCCAATATCAAATATCTTTTTCACGAGAAAGTATAAATCACTTGATTTCTTTGTGCTCTATTCTTGTTCTTTCGGTGCTGTTCCAGGTGTTTGGTAGTGATCAATAACAGAGGGTCTAGTCACTCAAATGCCTAATTCTAGTCAGTTGGCAGCTGTTTGTGAATTTGTATGTCCCGTGATTTGAGTGACTGCGTTTGTCTCTGGGCGCTAAGATTTCTGGATACCAGCAGCCATCACATTATCAGTGCGGAGATCACTTAGTTGCAGTGTGGATAATAATAAGAAAAAATTCTAATGCTTAGGAGAAGATTTTAGAACTATGTAAATAAACGCATAATTTGGTTCAATAATTGATAGTGAAGATTGTGTGAGAGGACTGAAGTGTAAGCAAGCAATGAGAAGGAAACGGAGTTAATAAGCGAGGCAGACTAAGTATGCGATCTGAGATGGTAATAATAACGACTAGCAAGTATCAGGCACAGCTTATCCACGAGGGAGATGACAATTCGTATGTGAATAAGTGTTCATCGGGTCTTTTTTCAAAGCTGTCCACTGGAGGGGGGTTGGTCGTTCACCTATGCTGGGCGAACATTTCAAGTTGCAAGGACTCCTAATGAGAAAACGTGTGCACAAACCTGAATGTTCGCTCTTTGATGCGCAATTTTTCGAGGATAGCCTCGAGAGGAGTGGCGGTAATGCATCGGTAAGCTGCCCATGTTATGATGTTTTGGTGTTCTTAATATGTTGTACGCCATAATCAGACCACCTCTGATTCCCCTGTAATTTAGGTGGAATGATACTAAATGCTGGAGACCTGATGATGATAGAATAATAATTAAAACTTAAACCTTGGGAATGAACTCTAAGAATATTTTACAACGAAAATGATTTACCAATGGCAAGAACAAGAATCGAGCCCAACGAAATCAAGTAGTTAATACTTTCTCATAAAAATGATATTGGATATTGAAAGACGTCAAAGTTATCGAGGTCTCTTTGGTGGTATATTCGAACTAGGATTTAGGGTTGGTTTTTTACTGATATCCAGACTTCACTAACTTGTAGTTTTTAAATGGTAAATATTTTTAATTTATGCATCATTACTTATTTAAAAACTGTCCTCATTATCAAATCAAAGTGTATTTTATAAGCATATAAGTTGCCGTCTCAATTCTTTAAAATTGAGGGTTTTCATATTTTATGTTCTCTATTCATTAACACATTGTGATGCAGACCTTACTAAAAACACGACTCAAATTCTATTTATTTGCGAATTGCGCAAAGTTTCCGTTTTCCATAGGTTTAATATAAATTAAATTTCAGCCTCTAGACCGGTCAAATTAATTAGATCCGATCAAACCGATCAAATAAGATTGAGGAAATAAAGGTGAAGTTCACAGAAATGTGGGCGATAGTGGATGACATTTTTTGCCTTGTTAGGTGATAGTGCAACTGAAAGTCGCTTTTATTGACTACGATGGGTGAAAATATTAGACATTTCCCCTAAATGTCCCCGTCCGTTCAATTTTCGCCCGAGTTGCCCGAAATCCGCATTCATACGTCATAAAAGTAGGCATCAGTGCGAATGATGGAAAGCGTCGAATATGAAATTAGTTTTCATTAATATTTATCTGAAACATTGAAGTTTCAATGACTTTCACTTATCTTCCTTGTAGCTAATATGTCCTATCATAGTCGCTTAATCTCTGAAAGGAAAGGAAGCATATCAGTTTATAAACGGCCTCAACACAGCAGCTGATAGTGATGATAAAGATGTTCACTACAAGCATAATTTATCAAAAAGTGAATTGAGCAAAATGTTCTGCGCTTCGTTAAACACCACTCCGTCGGCTGTCTGTGGACGCATGTGGCACTTATTCAGATGCTAGTTTAGGTTTGACTTTGTACTTTATTATATCGAATTCAGAATTCTAGGTATTTTAATCATATGAAAAAATTTAATAAATTCGTCTAACAACCACTGTAGTATTCATTCAGCTCTAGATTTTAGTATTTCCATCTCTGTAGATGAAACCGTAATTCTCCAGTGGTAAGAACCAAAATTTAAATTTTTAAGGTCTTTGCCATCATGATGGGAACCTTTTATGTGTTTACCTGGAAGTTCGGATAGTTTACCCACAATTCTCATGAAATCTTCCTTCGTTTATTCTACACGAGTGAGAGAATGGGGTAAATGCGACGTACTCATTAGGTTGACTTAAATTAGCTTTAGGAACGGACGGTAACAGCTCTATTTCAGTCTCAACTGAATTGGTGTCTACACTCACTTAACGACTAGGAAAGCATCTTCAAGTAAATTAAAATTGTTGCTAAGAGCACCCAGCCTCTTCTTAGACACATCTAAGTCAACTAAATTGTAAGCGAAATCTGACTGATATAAAGCCAAAGTGGTTTATTTCTGTGGATGAATACCTGTCAGGTATGACCTTCGATGCAATTTGTTAGTGACTTATTAATTGTGTAATCCACAAATACTCTGCCTCCTGATATTTGTCAAAAATGCCTTATAGCCAGATAAATCACAAGGAGTTTGCTTCCAGTGAATGAAGTACCTGTTTTCCGAGGGAGCTAGCCGTTTCAAGAAGGACAGGATTGGTTGTCAATTGTCTTCACAGTGAGTAAAGACATTACTCACTGCCCTGTCTGAAGCATTTAACATTAAAGGTAGAGGGAAATTATTATTCATTTATTTTAACTTTGATGGTTTAGCTAGTTTATATTCGAATTCTTATTATAACTGAATAAAACTGATATTGTTTTTGGCGTAAAGGAAAGAGAGGAATTACACATGAAGATTTATTATGTACCAAAAACATAAACTGCTTTGCATATACAGAGTTTTATATTTTTTTACTCATATTTATTATTGGTCAAAGTTAAATACTTTGAACTGGTCAAAACTTGGCATTAACTAACGAATAACTTAATGGAAGTATACAATTTACAATATCATAGAATTGAACTGCTATGACAGAAATGCCGAAAATTTATTGGGTTATGTAATCGTTATTTTCCAACATCCCTCTCTCTTTTTTATTTGAGGGCTGAATCTAAGTGTCAGTTATCCTACTTTGTAACCTCTAGGATTTCTTAGACTGTCTATGTAATAACTGTTGAGGTTACTGTCAGATTTTTGTTTAGTCCACTGGACGTTCCTTTAGTATGTCGCTGTAAATTGCATCCCGTTCTTTCTTTATGCCCACTGTAGTTCACAATGAGGGATCAGGTTTCAGACAGACAGACAGACAGACAAATACAACGCAGAACTTCGTACGTATGTACATCAGTTCAGGTTGCCATACCACATTAGCACAGAGACGCAATTGTCAGTTCAAATTCAAGAGTGATAGCGATATTAAAAGTATTAGCAGTAATGGAAAAGATTAGGGAGCGAAGATATGATTCGAGAAGTATTATTCAGTGAGATAAACTTAGAAGGAGAAAGATAGAGATGATGAGGAATTCAGAAGGTTAGAATTCGAGAGAACACAAAGAGTGGATGCACATGCGCCATCGCAAACGATTATGAGCCAAGTCATTCGAGGTGTCTAACTATCGGTGATTATCGTCTCGCGGACCCCAACCAGATAGCCTACATCTACGAACATGACTCAGTCCACTTGTTAATAACTTCATGGATTTGTGCCATGTTTTGGTTTGGTCGCCCTTAGCTTTCTTCCAACCTACTCCTACACCACAAAACATAGCTTGTCGCAGCAGTCGGTGGTTAGGCATACATAACACATGTCCCAACCATCTCAACTGATGAAGTTTCAATGCTTCATCTATTGATTTGCCATCCTTACCTAGAACTCGTTCCCAAACGACATGATTGCTTACTCGATAGTCTCAAGATAAACGAGCAATGCTTCGGATACACCTATGATCGAAGACTAGTAACCTACGAATGTCCTCTACTCTTAACGGCCATGTTTCGCATCCGTATAGTAGGACAGAGCGAACTGCTGCGCAGTACACTCGTCCTTTGGTTAGCAAGCGGATACCTCGCCTGCGCCATAGGTGACGCAGGTTGGCCTCACAACTAAACGACGACATTTTCTAATAATGGTTACTCATTACGACGACAGTTTCAAACTTTTTTTTGAAGTGGAATGTTTTACTTCAAAGCATTACCGTTGGAATCTATGTGACTTATTTAGGTGTTAAAAGGAAGTAGATTAGTGCTAGTTCCAAATATAATATACGTTGTTATTAACTGTGGTTCTATAACGTAGTTTATTATGGCCTAAAATCAGTGCTTCAAACTTCATATAAGTTTTGTCTTGTTAAAGCAGCAATTATTACTCTAAAGAATAACCCTGAATTAATGATATACTAAGATATTTTATAAAGTCATTAAATTTTAATCACTTTCTCAAAGGATTCTGAATTGCAAACTATTGCTTTTGATTCGCCTTTAACTAGTGTGATGTTATGCATATGATTTTAATAATGATGGTGTTTGAGTGAAGATTTCTAACATGCTTCATTGAGACATGTCCGTTTATAGTTAAGTTTTTTTGTTATCACTTACATCATCGTCATCGTCAATAGCAACGTAGAACTTTGAATGTAAGTACAGCACTTCAAGTTGCCATATCAAATTAGCACAGAGATATAATTGTCAATTCAAATCCAATAGTAGAAGAGGTAGTAAAGGTATTAGAAGTAATCGGAGAGGTTTGGATTAGAAGATATTATCCAGGATGTATGATTCAGTGAGATAAGTTAAGAAAGTCAAAACTAGAGGTGTTGAAGAATCCAGAAGATTAGGATTTGGAAGAACACAAAGAATAGATGCATCTGCACCATTGCAAACAGTTTTGAGCCATGTCATTCAGGGTCTCTAACCATCGATTATTAGCATCTCGCGTATTGTCAATTCAAATCCCTTAGTAGTAGAGGTAGTAAAAGTGTTAGAAGTAATCTGAGAGATTAGGGACACCTAGGATCGAAAACCAGTAACTTAGGAATATCTACTCTGACTGGCCATGTTTCACAGCCATAAAGTAGAACGGAGCGAACTACTGCACAGCACACTCGTCCTTTAGTCAACAAACAGTTATCTCGCTTACGCCATAAATGACGTAAATTGGCAAAAGCCAATCCAGCCTTCTGTATCCGTGCTGAGATTTCTTCAGTCACCAGGCCATCGGCACTGATGAGACTCCCAAGATAAGTGAAGCGGTCTACACGTTCGACTACTTCACTCCCTATCACTAGTTCAGGTGCCGATGAAACCTAATCTTGAAGCAACATTTCGCATTTCAAGGGTGAGAACCGCATCCCGAACATGCTTGCATTGTTGCTTAGGGTAGTCAGAAGACTCTGCATTTTGTCAGCGTCTTCACCAAGTAGGACAATGTCATCGGCATATTCTAAGTCAATAAGCGAGCCACCTGGCAGAAAGTCTACTCCTGAAAATTCAGACGAGGATAAATTTATTTCTAGAAGCATGTTTATGATAAAATTAAACAAGAATGCAGAAAGTGGACATCCCTGACGGACACCACTTGAAGTAGAGAATTCCGGTGACAGTTCGCGATAAGCGCTCACTCGACCAGTGGTGTTCGAGTAGAGAGCTTGTGTGAGGTTAATGTACTTCTTTGGTACACCTTTCAATGACAGACACTGCCACAGAACCTCACGATCCACTGAGTCAAATGCCGCCTTAAGGTCCCGGAAAACAACTATTGTAGGACGCCTAAATGTGTGTCTGTGTTCCAGGACCTGTCGTAGTGTGAAGATGTGGTCTATACAACCACGTCCAGGTCTGAAACCAGACTGGTTTTCTCGAGTCTGCTCTTCACGAGCTTTCGTTAAGCGTCGAAGTATTACTGAGGCCAATATTTTAGATACTATATTAGTTAGACTTATTCCCCTGTGATTGTCACAAGAAGACTTCTGTCCTTTCTTATAGATTGGGACAATCAGTGATTGAGACCAGTCGGATGGGATTACGTCCAGTTCCCAGATTCTACCTAAGGTTTCGGTCAACCTAGTTGCTAAAACTGGACCACCATCCTTAAATATCTCAGGGGTCAGTTTATCAGGACCTGCAGCTCGTCCTCGCGCTTTCTCAACTTCAATAGGACTAGGGGGACTTACGTCGACTTGCCATTCAGGATGACTGGAGATCGTGGGTAACCGAAGTGTGGCTGAAGGCCAGTTGAACTGATCCCTAAAGTGTTCAGCCTATCGATCTAATCTCCTGGATGGAGAATAAATAGTAGTCTCATCCTTTTCTGAGATAGTTTCGCTAACAGATGGATTTCTAACACTGGTTTCATTGATGAGTCTAAATAGTTGCCTACTGTTGCCTATTGTCGATGCCTTTTCTATCGCTTTTGCTTTCGCCACCCACCACTGTTCACGGTCGTTGCGTAGGCTTTTTATGAGCCTGCGCCTAAGCTGACTTCGTTTTTCATCATGTTCAGAGCCAGGAGGGATAAGTTTTCGAGCATCCATCAGTTGCGTAGATGCTACTGAGATTCACGGCTTATGTTTTACCTTACAAGCAGATATAACTGCTGTTTCCACAGCCTTTTTGATATCATTCCAAACTGCCTCAGGGTGGGCATCACTTACTACATGGCTGCCTAACTGTTTTTCTTGTTGCTCCTGAAATATATTCTTAACTTTATTATCATTAAGTAGAGCCCTAAGAAGTTTCCTTGCGATATTTTTCTTCCGTCCAGTAAGGCGCAAACAAATACGCGCTCGCACTGGTCTGAGTCTAAACAAGTGCTCCAGAATGAGCGGCAGTCTTCAACAGAGTCTCCACCGATGGCCTATAGCGATGTGATCTAGTTGGACCCATCGTTGGGTTGGCTTTGGTATTCGCCAGGTCAAAAGGTGTTTTACCTTATGCGTAAAGTTTGTGTCTGCTATGAATAGGCGGTTATCTGAGCATATCTGCAGCAGATGGTCGCCATTATCAGTTCTATTAGCCGCGACACCATAAGACCCACCCATGTGTCTTTCCTTTCCGATCGAAAGAACGGTTCGTCGAGGAGATAAGGGACTTATTAAGAGGTGTAGAAAGGTTTGATTGTGACCAATTTGGTCTCGTGTGCTTTTATGGGTATGAGGGCGGATGTTACTTTCCGGCTACCCTCACCGTGAATGGGTGTTTCTTGAGGAACCTGAAAAGGAAGTTAGATTAGCGTTGGTCTGAACGACCTGGGAGCGTGACTTCAGAGCCCAAGGGACAGCTGCTTGAGGTCGGTCACGCACGGCCTTTTTATGAAAGGTTTTTTGAGTATTAGCTCCGCTCTTAAAAGCCGTTAGTGGGCACCCTTAGGGCCGGAGACGGAAATCCATGAGGTGGAGTGAGGTGTGACATTTTAAAGGTCGACCTTTTATAACCCTTCCTTCCTTGTGAGAAGGCAGCATCGCTGCAGATGCTGGTTGTCCGAAGGAAACACCTTACTACTGTCACACCCCTCTGCAGTCAGCAGTACGACTTCGCCCTCAGACTTTGATTATGTGCTTTTAGTCTCATCATTCCCCAATCGACCTGCCAGGCATGGTAGAATCTTCAGGAACATAAGTTCCAGCCAATATAGCTCGGTTGGGTCATCACAATAGGCATGCCCGACCATCACGTCAAGGTAGCAGTTACGGTCGGGTATTACTTGCATCTAACTAATTGCTTCTATCATAAGTTAAGACAACTGATAAAGTTAGAAAAAACATTTATCTATTGTAAATAGATAAATTAAAGTCGGGCACGCTGATATGGCAATGAAAGATTGTAAACTATTGGTCAGGTTTTTATTTGGATTGTTTGGTGGTAACCAGGTCTATCGAAAATCTACCATTTCTGTATCAGTAGAATCAGTCAGATGCAACGTAGAACTTTGTACGTAAGTACATCAGTTCATGTTGCCATACCACATCAGCACAGAGAAGTAATCGTCAATTCAAATCCAATAGTAGAAGAGGTAGTAAAGGTATTAAAGTAATCGGAGAGGTTAGGATTAGAAGATATTATTCAAGAAATATGATTCAGTGAGAAAAGTTTAGAGAGTCGAAACTAGAGGTGTTGAAGAATCCAGAAGATTAGGATTTGAGAGAACACAGAGAATAAATGCATATCAGTAGATGTATATAGTAAGTTTGTTTTTCTCCTCTTGACACCCTTTTACGATTTAGTTAGGGATGAAACATATGTGGTTTCCAGTGTTATCTTAGCTTGGGTAGTTTGAATCCGGATTTGCGTAAATAACTGGAATGAAGAACAGACAACTGATTGTTGGCCACAGTTTAAATCTGATCAAGTTTCTACATAGTCTTGATCGAGCTATGGTATTTATAAGTGTATTATTTTTCTAATTTTTTTCATAACGCCTACATTGCAGTACATGACTAAAATGTCTGTTATTAATCCACCACTATATTGGATTATTTACATACAAAATACCTTTCAGCCGGTATAGGGTATGTAATAATGATTAATCTATCTTCCGAATACAGATTTATGTAATTTAGTTAGCGCTAGATATTTTTACGAAAGTTAGTGATATCATCCGAGTGATTTGACCGAATTAAGTGGATCCGTGTTCTAATCGGTGGCCTAATGGTCAAGGAATTCAGTACTTTTACCACTATAAGAAACTAGTCACTTAAATGAAGGTTATATTTACTTAGACAATCTTTGATACTTTTGAACTACAAAGTAACTAAGATTGTCCGGAAAATCAAATTAAATAACAATTTTTGTGTCCTTATTTCTAGCGAGCGTTTAATCAACGAATGTACATGAAGACTTTAAAAAATCTCGTTTATTTCAAAAATATTTTTAGTTTCAAGATTAAGGTTTGTTCTTAGGTTCAAAGAGTTGTGATATCTGTTCGCTAACCAAAGGGCGGGTGTACTGCGCAGCAGTTCGTTCCGTTCTCTTATATGGCTGCAAAACATGGCCGTTAAGAGTAGAAGATGTTCGTAGGTTATTAGTATTCGGTCATAGATGTTTAAGAAGCATTGCTCGTATATCGTGGGACAGCCGAGTAAGCAATGCTGTCGTTAGGAAACGAGTACTAGGTAAGGATGGCAGATCAATCGATGAAGTGGTGAAACTTCATCAGTTGAGATGGTTGGGACATGTGTTACGTATGCCTAACCACCGACTGCCCCGACGAGCTATGTTTTGTGGTGTAGGAGTAGGTTGGAAGAAAGTTCGGGGCGGGCAGACCAAAACATGGCACAAACCCATGAATTCCCTGACAAGTGGACTGAGTCATGTTGGTAGATGTAGACTACCTGGTTGGGGTCCGCGAGACGAAAGTCATCAATGGTAAGAGACCTTGAACGACATGGCTCAGAATCGTTTGCAATGGCGCAGGTGCATCCACTCTTTGAGCTCTCTCAAATCCTAATCTTCTGGATTCGTCAGCACCTCTACCTTTTGTCTTTCTAACCTTATCTCACTGAATTATATTTCTTGAATAATATCTTCGAACCCTAGTCTTCTTTATTAACATTAATACCTCTACTATCTTTATCACTATGGGATTTGATTTGACATTTGCGTCTCTGTGCTAATGTGATGGTATGGCAACATGAACTGATGTACATACGTACGAAGTTCTACGTTGCAACTGACTGACTCAAAGAGTCGATTGAATTCACTTTAATATTTATTTAACGTTTTCATAAATAAATAATAAATACAACTTAGATGTAAAGTACTCTGGTTATATTAAAAAGCATATTCTGATATGTTTCTCGATGTTTGAGGTGTTTTTCATGGCTTTCAAGCATTAACAGTTATTATTTTCTTGTATAAACCATCCTAGGATACTTTATGACACTGTATTAGATCACTTAATTTTGTTCTTAAGAATATTTTCTTCCCAACAACTTGTATATGATTTCTTTCATATAAACAACATTTTTTGTTTTATTCTTTTTTAGCTTTTTAAACATGTTGTCTTTTGAAGAATTAACTATAATGCGAAATTTACCAGCTCTTGTAGCAGATTTAGAAAGTATGGATATTATTGATCACCTTACTGCTACTACACCTCCATTAATTACTCCTACTGATTATGAATCAATTATAGCTACATCACAGAGAGAGGGACGAAGAGCAGGTGTAAGATGTTTAATTGCTTGTTTGCTACGTCGATCAGAAATTCAAAAAGTATTCAAATCTTTTCTTAATATACTCAAAGAAGATTATATCCATTTGTTTGATTTATTAAATAAAACATACGAAAGCTTAAAAACTGTGAATAACGATGAACCTGATTTTGGTGCATTAAACAAAAATTCGTTTTGTTCCAATGTTGTTTTGGAGATTGAAAATCAAGTAAACATAACTACTCCTTGTCAGTCGATCACAAAAGACGTGGATCATTCGGAGATGTTTTTGAAAGGGCTTGGAGCTTCTGAGAATGGTAATAAACAAATTAAGATGATTGTATATATATATATATATATATATATATATATATATATATATATATATATACTCTATTCACTATCTCCCGGCCAGTATGTAGTGCTAAGTTTAGGAGTCGAGAAAATGTACACAAAACATGTCTAACTGACCAAAGTTTGTATTTCAGAATTACACCACTTTTCGGATTATGATGAGCTCAATGTTATATGTAGTCTAGCCTTACGATTATCTACGTGATAGTGTCGTCAAATGTTAGCAATTCTTTAGAGACAATTATGATCGAACACAGGATCGTCGAATATCGACAGCATTAGAAGCATTTCACACGCAAATTCTTTTCTAAGTGATTAAATGTTATCATTTCATAGTTAGATATCAATTCTACATTCAAGATCAAGAAGTCATTCTATGAGCAACATTCACATTAACAGTGCTGCACCTCAAAATTGTTTCCTGAGTATCGAGGGGATATCTAATATAGAATATTAGTAGTAGGAAACTTTGCCCAACCTTGATGTTGTTATAGAATACTGGAGAGCAAGAAGATTATATATTCATTACCAAGTTGTTTTTCAATGGCTTTCATGGTGTTAGTACACTTTTTAAGTAGCCGAATTCAACCTAATATTTAACATTAAACGTAATGCTGTTTCAATATCAAGAGATAAGACTGTTAGCTTGTAGCAATTGTATGCTTGGGCAGTAGTTAAGCCTGACAGTTAAATGTTAATTCCATTGACATTCTAGTTGTCTACGAAATTCGAATATTATGATCATTTATATTCTAATACATTTTTACTAATATCTATTTGTTTTTAGTCGATATATAGTATTCATGCATGGTATTCTGTTATAGGACAAAGCTTATTTTTCTCTTTACTGATATTCTGTCTTATCTCTATTTTTTTTACAAATCTGGTTGTTATTCGTGCTCCTAGTAAGTTTATATTTTCAACAGATTGCTCTCAAAATCCATATTTATCAATCAGTATAACTGTTGGAGGAGATGATGCTGTTAGAGGTAGTCTAAGGTAAACCTATGGATCTAGGTTTCGTGTCACCTGGTACATTCATCAGCAAGGTATATCCGTGAATTTGATGTAACTAGTTCTCTCAAGCGGTTTCGATCCTGTGCCACCCAAATCCGTAATCTGAGTCGTTACCATTAAGCTATTTGTGTTGTGACTGAATATTTACAATTGACTAGTCATTGAATAGTGGCCAATATCAAGTATGTTTAATTCTTTGAGTGCTAACTGAATTCCATCAATGAAGCTAAAGTGTGTCCACTAGTCTAAGTGACTCAGCATCGCGTGCACTATGTGAAGACCTGCTAACAACTGCTGTACAGCATGAAACGTAAGTCTAGCATTTCCTATCAATTATCTCAAACAACCTTAATCAATCAACTGAGGCTGCACTCTAACATCCGAATTCTAATGCTATATGGAATAACTGAGAAATGAATCTGTCATATTATTTGATATTAAACATTTAATTAATGTTCTATCTTAGGAGCGGTTCTTTAAGGCAATCTTCACGACTTAATTAAGCCTAATGGATCCTACACACCACGACTATATGGTTTGTCAAAAGTTCACAAATCGGGTCTTCCTCTACGCCCGGTTCTAGATATGTTCAATCTTTTTTTGAGTTTTGTTTTTGAGTTCACTTCCAAGGTAGAACATATGAATGTTAGCAGGAAAAATATGATCTCACTGGATGTTGTATCTTTGTTTACCAACGTACCACTCCTTGAGACCATTGAATTCATATGCGAGCAAATTAAGGAGAAACAAATCAATATTGGCTTGCCCGAAGATTGCCTTAAAGAATCGCTCCTAAGATGTACGATGAACGTCCATTTTCTACTCAACAACACTTACTATAGACAAATAGACGGTATAGCCATTGGTTCACCTCTAGACCCAATTCTAGCGGATCTCTTCCTAGCAAAGCTAGAAAATGCACCACTTAAAGAAGCTATTCAGAATCTTGATCTATATTGTCGGTACGTCGATGACACATTCATCATTGCAGACGAGGACATCAGCAAAGAAAAACTCCTGGAACAATTCAACAGTGTACACCCGGCAATCACTTTCACTGGTGAAGAGGAGTACGATAAAAAGTTGACCTTCCTTGACGTCACACTAAGTAGACGAAGTGATAACTCGCTAAGTAGAAGCGTATATAGAAAAAATCCCGCTGCTTGCCAATACACTCACTTTTGTAGTTTTACACCTATCCGTTACAAAAGAAACTTGGTTAGATGTCTAACTAGCAGAGCAAAAATGATCTGTTCAGTGGATACTTTAAGTCAGGAGCTGCAATTTATCAACAACTCACTGACCTAGATCGGCTACCTCAGCGCATTCATAAGGAAGTATATGTGGTTGATGTAAAAAAGAAGTCAGTAATTTCGACCGTCCGAAAGAAGCCATTATTTATGAAGTTACAATTCAACGGAGATGTGGCCTGCGATACTCTACAGGACAGATTAATAAGAGCAATTAATAGAACATTCAATGCAGCCAAACTTGCGTTAACCTTCTCAAGTCGACCAACGATGTCTACCCAAACGAAGGATAAGTTACCTGAATTGGCTTCCTCTATGTGCATTTACAAATTCAGCTGCTCCTGTGGAGATAGCTATATCGGGCGTACTACCAGACAACTTAACCAACGAATGAGTGAACATCTCGCAGCATGGTTTAAGAAGGGTCAGTCAAAAATAATACGCAGTTCGATCTTAGCACACCTGGTTGATAGTGATCATATTGTAGATAAGTTTAGATCTTTTCGGGTGATCTATCGTATACCTCGATCATTTCCCAACGGAGTTCGATCCTGTCTCCTACACTTAGCAGAAGTCATAGGGATTCGTACATTCAAACCCAATCTATATGGTTATACAAAACGCATATGCATACAACAACAATGAATATTCCGGAAGGTTGTGTCTTTCACCATGATTTTTAACAATAATTATTTTCCATGTATACAATATGCAGTATTCAGTTTATATCATTGAGTAATGAGCCAAATCATGTATATTTCATTTACGATGGCTTAAGTATATACAAGTCCAAGAAAGTTAATGTCATCATCAACATTTTCTTACTATTTAATTGTGTTTTTTATTTATTTAAAAAACAAATCTTTTAGATACTATCTTCAATATTATTTCAATTATATGCTCACATCCAATTGCTGTGATGAATTGGAAAAATCTTTTAAATGAATTAATAGGATGTAATACTATCAATGCTACTAGTACGATTATGATTAATAGTAACAATAATAATAATAATTCACATTTACAAAACACTGATTCATCAAATATAAAAGATTTTGAAGATTTCCTATGGTGTGCATCAAATTGTCGTCGTGGTCTTTTTCAATTTTTTTCAATTAATATGATTCGAAATTTAGAAAGTCGTGGTTCTCCTCTCAAACGACCATATCTAATGAATGTTAATATGGATAAATTTAATGCTGTAAGTTTTATTATTGTTTATGGTGAATTATAAGATGTGAGTGAAAGTACAAATCATTAGTTTAAGCAATTTATTCTTATAGATTGAATTAATGATCAAATACTCGATTTCATCTTGGATAGCTTGCTCTATGCATAAGGTTCTTAGTCTGTATGATTCACATTTTTGTATGCAAATATGTGCATATAGTCACTTGTTCTCCTTAACAGATAGTGTAATTGAAGGAATATGATGTAGCAGTAATGGTTTCTAAATCTACAATTCAAACCCATTCAGATTGTTACAACCAGTAGAAACTTTAGTTCGCATCCGATTCCAAGCTTATATTAGTAACCATTGTAATCTACTTAGTACAGAATAGTATCAACGTACCTTTATAAAGGTATTAACATTTCACCAGAATAAATTTAATCGTTTCTAATAAAAAGAGTTCTCAAAAAATTCAGATGAAAGGATTTCTGTGTTGCATTCTCTGTTTAGCACTTATGGACTACTGGACTTAACTCTAATCCGGAAAAGACTGTGCTAAACACAAGATTTATTCCAAATTACCTGAATAACGATCAACAATAACAAAAATAAGAGTTTGCATGTGAATTTATACAGGAAATTCATAGTGTCTCATTGACTTTTCCACTAGTCTTGATTGACCGAAAATGACCCGATCAGCATGTTCGAATTTGATCTTGCATTAATGATACAATTATTAGGAGTTTGTCTTCCCTTTTAAAGAGTTGTGGTTGAGGTTCACTTGTATTAGGACGGCTAATCCTGGCTTTCTGCCTGACTCCGTGCTGGTAAGTAAAGGTGTCGTTTGGTTCTTTGTGTGCACCGAAGCTGGCTTGACTGTTGCAGATGGTTTGATCTTAAAGATATTTAAATGAATATTTGATGATATTCTATGATAAGTTTCGATATTGAAAATAGGGTTCGCTTAACTTAACTGCTCGCCTTATTCAAACTGATAACAACTGGCACTTCGTAGATTGTATTACCTCCCCGTAAAATATGACAGCACGTCCACTTAAGATGGCTAAGACGATGATCCGTTGCAAGCACTTTCGGAGCCAAAGTAAACGATCATTTTTGTGCCCCATGGTATTAGTTATGCATATATATGCTCAGTGGAAGCTGTTACTAGAAGAACGCGAACGAAAAATATGCTCAATTCATGGCATCATAAGGTTTCTGTCGGAAAAACTTCGAGAGTTCTTTGAAGTGCTCTACCCACCTGTTTCACTGTTTTTAAAACTTGGTCATGGGTTTACCTTCTTTGTTACTGACTGGTCGTTCTGGTTTACTTTATTTTCCAGCCAGCTTCGTTGTATTGTATGGTTGTCTCATATTTCCTTCTCTTACAGCATTTTCTGCTTTCATTGCTAGATATTTCACATATATACGTTCATCAGCTTGAATGTTCCTCTTCACTTGCTTGTTGGTTTCATTGTATTTGGCATGTGTCTTGACTGTCCCTGCTCTTGTCTGGCTGTAATTGATTTCTGTCTTCCTGTTCTTCCTTTCTTGAATCTTATCCAGAGTATCAATAGAGATCCATTCCTTGTGGCTCAGAATCTCGTGACATGCTGAAGTCATTGCTTCTCTGATCCCTTTCCAGTTGTTCTTCATAGTAGTTTCCTCTTCATCGAGTAGGTTGTTAAATGCTTGGAACTTACTGTTGAGAGTTATCTTGAATTCGTTTAGTTTGTCAGTATCCCGTTAGAAATGCCGTATTAAACTTTTGTGATGTTGTTCGCCCAGTTTTTCAGTGCTTCTTTAGTTCCAGTTTCATCTTGGCCACTGCTAAGTGATTATCTAAAGCTTTGTTATCTTCTCTCTTTGTTCTTACGTGCTTTATGGTCCTTCTGAACTTTTTGTTGATGTATATGTGATCGATTTGGTTCTATGTAGTGTGATCCGGTGACACCCATGTAGTTTTGTGTATGCGTTTTTGTGGGAATATGGTGCCGCTTATGACCAGTTTGCTGGAGGCACATAAGTTTGCGAATCTCTTAATGTTTTCGTTCCGTTTTCCTAGTGCATGTTGTCACATGATATCTTCGTATCTCGTGTTGTCCATTCCAAACTTGGCGTTTAGCTCTCCCGTCAGAAAAGTCTAATCCTTTGTTGGACATTTCTGTGCAATTGACTACAGCCTCTCATAGAATTGATGCTTATCTTCTTGAGTTTTATTGTTGGTGGGCGCGTAGCACTGAATGATATTCATTGTAATCCCCTTTTCCTTTCTTTCTCGTGAAGGATGCTTTGATGATCCTGAGTCCATGAGATTCCCATCCTATTAGTGCTTTTTGTGCTTGTTTGGACAGCATCAGACCCACTCCTTGTTTGTGGAAAACTTTCTTCATCATGACGGAAACACAACAACATTTCTCCTGAAGCCCAGTCTCAGTTGTTCAACCTGCGTCCAATGTGTTTCACTGACTCCAAGTACCACCAGATGGTATCTTTTCATTTCCTCAGCAACTTAAATAGTCCTTCCGGTCCGCTACATAGTGCGAACCTTCCATGTACCTATATTAATTGTTAATCTGGTTGTGAGCAGGGGCATTGGTATTGTTAGGATAAAACCTTTTCAGTTACACTGTAGTGAACGAGAACACAGGTGTGGCAACCGAATTGTATTTAGCGAAATTACAGAGTTACTCAGTAAAATTGGAAAATCATATCGTAAATCGTTAATTTGCAAAATATCAGTTCATCATATCGAACTGGACTGTTCCTGTTGCAAAACATCAATCCATTGTCACTATTCATGCGTTTCATACAAATTCCATTGTGTTCTAACTCTTCCTTTCTTGATCTTCCCCTACCTTCGGCTGCCAGACATTACGTTGACACTCACGTCATATACTACTTATAAGTAGCTCACACCACAACACTACTAATAAAGTTGATAAAAATATCTCATTGAATACTGTTGTTAAACGCAAATAATTAATTACATCGAACTTATTAATTATCAATGCTATTTTCATTCTATTTGTTTATTTTTTTTATTCAAAGCAACTAATTCGTAAATTGATCATAGAAAAATTAATTCCAGCTTTACAACATCATAATCTTTGGAATCTAGCCAATCGAATTCAAACACAAATTGAATACAATGATGAAGAGAAATGTAATTCTATGAAAAGTTTAAATTTAACTAGATGTAGTCTTTTGTATACAAATGAATTTTCTTCGAAATTATCAAATTCTACTTGTCATAATAATAATATTATTATCAATGATAGTAATATACTACTAGATCAAAATCAATCTTTTCCATCATTTGATCTATTAAAATCTTGTCCTCAATTCAATTATGCGAAATGTAAGTTAAGTAAGAATGATAAATAGCTTGATTGTTATTAATTAACATTAATCTATATGTTTTTATAAGTATTAAGAAAAAATAACATAAAATCCTACCGAAAATTTCTTGTGAACCTTGATTAATGTAGTGCCCAGGTTGCGGTTGAAATATTATCTCAGAAGAGCATTAATAAACTCTGTAAATTCATAGTGTCATATAAATGTTAGTAATGGTTAATACTGCGGATAATGCAACATTTATAACTTGTCAGATGTTTAGCTGTAAATTTACAAACCAGTAGTATTTCATTGTACTCATCACTTGGTGAAATGAATCTGCTGGTTATCGATTTGTTACTTGTGGTATAAATTTGTATGGAGTTTTTACAGTACGAATTTTTCAGGCTATTTTAATCTTAGATTAGCAATGTTTCTTTAAATCTCCTTGCAAGTGATCAATCTCTATTTGGATTTGTGTATCCTTAAAGGTTTGCTTCAATGATCACCATTTAGCCATAAGTTATTCTTATTTTAAGATCCTGTTAGGTAATTATCATTTAGGTGTAACTGGATTGAATAATCATTTCAGCACCAACACTCAAATCATGGTGTGGCGTGAGCTACTTATGAGTAAGTATATGACGTGAGTGTCAACGTAATGTCTGGCAGCAGAAGATGGAGGAAGATCAAGAAAGGAAGAGTTAGAACACAATGGAATTTCTATGAAACCCATGAATAGTGACAATGGATTGATGTTTTACAACAGGAACAGTCCAGTTCGATAGGATGGACTGATATTTTGCAAATAAACGATTTACGATATGGTTTTCCAATATTACTGAGTAACTCTGTAATTTTCGCTAAATACAATTTGGTTGTCCTCACCTGTGTTCTCCTTCACTACAATAGTACCTTTCGCTTCAAATGCCAATGCGTTAGGATTCAGATGAATCCAACCGACAAGTTTCAACTAGAAAGAAACTTGAGTATATCAATTGTAAATCTCTTTCATCTACTGCGCCTTAAACATCTGAATTATCTTATCATCTAATCGATATGACTTGTCCACAAATATATGTAAAAAGAAATTAGACATGACAAAGTACAATTGATAAGTCGTTAATAGAAACTTATCATTATACTAATGCAGACATTTAAAAATTACTGTTGGAATTCAATCTAAAGGATATACTTAATGAAACAAACACTAATTGATAGATTAGTGATATACTTGAAACTATTTTGAGTTCAGCTTAGTCGGTAAACTAGAGCGAAAACAAATGATCCAGTGACACGATAGGCTACTCTAATCCGAGCGTCTCATGGCCCCAGCAAATAGAGGAAGAAGTCTTGATGCGGCGTAGGAAGTGTATTCTACAAGCACCCAGAAAATATGAGGTTTTACAAGCACACTAATTTCTTGGGAGAGCCACAAAAATAGCGTACTAAAATAATACATCAACCAATACCAGCCAAAGATTTTCCGGGTTGGAAATGTGATCTTAAGGTCAACCGAGCAGTCCATGAATAAAATCCAAAATTCGGACCTTTATCAAGTGAGTTCTGGGGATCTAATGTCCCCAACAATTAGTTTAATAAGCCGCAATGAACAGACTTGAAAATTTCTTCACTTCAAGATATTTACGAATTTTATTTACTGGATGCTAGTCATGGGAATAGCTTTATTGTATAATAAAAAATCTTAAAAAAATATTCATATCGAATTACTTAGTTCCATATTTTATTATTTAAAAAAAAACAGGTTTTACTTATCTTATTTTTTTCTGTGAAATATGGTGGTATTTATTGCATCCTAATTATTTGTTTGTTTTTCTTTTCTACAGCTTTACTTTTCTCATGTATTGAACCAATATTTCATCATTCTCTTATACTATTGGATTGGCCATTTCTACTTCATGAGTTAGAAGTTTGTTCAACTTGTATTTTCTATTTAATTAGTTATCATTCCTGTTCTTTATCATGTTTATCAACTAAAAATAATAATAGTAATATTGAATTGTCTGATTGTAATTCTTCTTGTGAAAATATTCAAAATGAGAAAATTAAAAATTCTGCATTGATTATACTTTTTAGTACAATACTTTATAATACATTATATCAAAAATCGATTACAGATCAAACTATGAGTCAATCAATTGTACAGAATTTAAGTGAAAGTATGCAAAAAGTGAGTATTTTTCCTTGTTTTTTTCTTTCATATTTTACTACTCATAAAATAGTAAGTTCATAGTTGTATGATTCAATCGGACAGAAGATGGAAACCTAATTGATGTAGTTTTAACTTCAGTGTTAGAAGGCTGCAGTTTCTTACGTTTCGTTTATACTTACTAGTTCAGTCAGTTGCAACGTAGAACTTCGTATGTATGTACATAAGTTCATGTTGCCATACCACATTAGCACAGAGAAGAAAATGTCAAATCAAATCCCATAGTGATAAAGATAGTAGAGGTATTAATGGTAATGAAGAAGACTGGGGTTTGAAGATATTATTCAAGAAGTATAATTCAGTGAGATAAGGTTAGAAGGACAAAGGTAGAGGTGCTGACGAATCCAGAAGATTAGGATTTCAGAGAGCTCAAAGAATGGATGCACTAGCGCCATTGCAAACGATTTTGAGTCATGTCATTCAAGGTCTCTAACCATTCGTGACTTTCGTTTCGCAGACCCCAACCAGGTAGTCTAAATCTACCAACATGACTCAGTCCACTTATCATGTTGGTAGATGTAGGCTACCTACTTACCAGTTAGATAGATATTCATCACTATAAATGTTAAAATTTTAAGACGTATGTTGATTAAGTTAATTCTTGCATATTTATCACAATATGGCATCTTAATGGGTTTTGAATTGACGCCACTAACACCTAGTTCTGTTAACCGAATACACCAATTCCTCATTCTCTCCTATGCCTGGATACTCCAAAGCACAAATCTTCCAAAGATTATTTATTTAATATTAACCAAGAAAAATTTATATTCATCACATAAAATATACCAACAATAATGTTTCAAATTGCGGTACTTGAAAAGTCACTGTTTTTGAATTTAAGTCATAGTTTAAATAAAAGATAGATCCTGTGCAATTATTCGGCACAAGAAGGCAGGAATTGGAATTCACAAGATGGGAATTTAACGTTCTCAATACATAGATTGTTTTTTATACAAACCAGTCATCCATAACTGAAAGAAAACGGTTTAATTTTGTTGTGAATCTATTCCAACAAAATTAGCTGATAGTTTGTTAGGATATAACTTTGTAACCGTTTGAATTTTAACAATCTACACCCATTCATTAAAATGCAAATAAATCATTGAAGTACATCGATTTATAGCTGTGTTGCACTGGTTTCCCACCTATTTTATCGTAAGTCAATTTATTCAGGAGTGAGGGTGTAGCGACACCTATAAAAGTAAGTTATCAGTGCTGACTTTAGACAGACAGATACAACGCAGAACTTCGTACATGAGTACATTAGTTCAGGTTGCCATGCCCCATCAGCACAGAGATGCAACTGTCAGTGATAGCAATGGTAGAAGTATTAGTAGTAATGGAGAAGATTAGGGAGCGAAGATATGATTCGAGAAGTATAATTCAGTAAGATAAATTTAGTAGGAGAAAGGTAGAGACTATGAGGAATTCAGAAGGTTAGAATTTCATAGTACACAAAGAGTGGATGCACCGGCGCCATTGCAAACGATTCTGTGCCATGTCATTCAAGGTCTCTAACCATTGGTGACTATCGTCTCGCGGACTCCAACCAGGTAGTCGACAATTACCGACATGGCTAAGTCCACTCGTCAATGACTTCATGGATTTCTGCCATGTTTTGGCCACCCCTAGCTTTCTTCCAACCTACTCCTACACCACAAAACATAGCTCGTCGAGGCAGTCGGTGGTTAGCCATACGTAACACATGTCTCAACCACCTCAACTGATGAAGTTTCAATACTTCATCTATTGATTTGCCATCCCTACCTAGAACTCGTTTCCTAACGACAGTATTGCTTATACGGTTGTCCCAGGATACACGAGCAATGCTTCGGAGCATTGCTGACTTTACTTTAAATTACAATCGGCCAGTGACAACTGGTAATGTGTCCTAGAACATACTCTGAATATAATCTTAGTATGTACATATTTATCACATGGTATAATGATATTTCACTCATAGTTTTAAACAATCCACAAGTTCACATAAACATTATTGATCTATCCAATGTGTGATTTTCTTTTTTTTTCAACTTAAAATAAATTTTTGTTTTTTTTCATTTTCCTTTATCATAGTCATGTGTAGCATCTGTAATTCATACGAAATTATTACCAGCTCTACGTCGTCTTGATTTAAATGTATTACATGATAAGATTGAACAATTGGCTTTTCAAATGCTTCATTGACATTTGCTTCTTATTTATATAGATATATAGAGAGATAATATTTTCAAAATCTTATTATGAAAAAAGGACAATTTGATTCACTTTTCTGTAATTTATCTACAATGCTTCCATTATAGATTCTCTTGTAAGCTCTATCTGTGTACATATTTAAAGTGTTATTGAATTCTGATTACTTCTCATTTACTTTTATAATGAATGATTCACCCTTCTCAAGGATGTTATGTTTTTTTTTGCACAAAACTCTAATTTTTATCCATACACAAGCTACTTTGGAGTTGATCATCGATGAATTTATTCAATCATCAGTAGCCGATGTATTTACTATTTTTTTTAACTGTAAGATAACCATGTTTTAAAAGACTGCTTTTACCACTTGAGATTGGTGTAATGCTTTGAATTGAGGCATTTTAAAGTTTATTATCATGAATGTTATCATTTTTAATTGAATCAACTTCGTACATACGTACATCAGTTCAGATTGCCATGTCACATAAGCACAGAGCCGCAATAGTCAATTCAAATCCCATAGTAGTAGAGGTAGTAAAAGTATTAGCAGTAATCGGAAATTTTAGGGTTCGACGACATTATTCAAGGAATTCGATTCAGTGAGATAACTTTAGAAAGAGAAATATAGAGATGATGAGGAATTCAGAAGGTTAGGATTAGAGACAACACAATAAATGAATGCACCTGCACCATTGCAAACGACTTTGAGCCATGTCATTCGAGGTCTCTAACCATAGGCACTGATGAGACTCCTAAGATAAGTGAAGCAGTCAACACGCTCAAAAGTAATTCAAACCATATAAACTCAGCTCTGGGAGTTAAAAGGTCTTCCATTTAGAAGAATTATGACGTCTCGTGATGAAAGCCGAGTTCCTTTGGAAGTCACGAGGCCGATGCCCCTTCTGACAACCAAGAACCCTTCCACTGTGTGGGCAGCCGGGAAGTAACATCCGCCCTCATACCCATAAAAGCACACGAGACCAAATTGGTCACAATCAAATTTTTAATTTAATAGTAATAAATCATGTATATATATTCAATTTGAATGCACCTGTTGAATAATAATAGGAAAGTGTAATCCTACATTTATGTAGTGACTATTACTTAACAAAAGAGTTACACATTAAAAGTGAAAAATAATATTCAAATTATTTATGGAGTTTTGAATGTAAAACATAAGAATACCTACACTTTTAAGTTAGTATTATCTTTTCAATAATAAATAGTATAAGTATGAAAGCACGAATTAAACAACTACTGAAGGACAATATACTGAGTACATTTTGAAATATTTCAATACACTAGATTTTATATTTACAAGACTTTAAGGATCTAGTCGAGTGAAACTATTCTATTGTTATATAGCTTCAATTCAGTCTAAATAAAGGCAATTTTTAGTAACCTAAGTATTTCTTCTTTGTACTTCGATTGATACTCACTCACATACCAGTTAGTTTAAGATTATATAGAAACAAGCTATCTGAATAATATCATGACTACATATGTCGAGGGTGTGCTCTTCAAGAAAGTAAGAAAACAAAAAGTGATTTGAAAAACTGAAACCTGAGACCGATTTCAGCCATCAGCTACTATGAGCTACGTTTCCACCACTGTCTTGTGCATAAAAAAGTTTAGGTCAAAGGCCCGGGCAATAGGACTTCAAGAAAAGCATTTGCTTCGCTCAGTTAATATATCCCAGTCCGTACACATACTGAGGTGATTATGTCTGGTGCATACAATTTTTTCATGCCTAGTTATGTCAACTTTTATGTAAAATCAAACAAAAAACGATTCTATCAATAAGTAGAAAAAGTTTTATATATACAATATCACACTTGACAAATAAACAGAGAGCAATTTTGTCAGTTAGCTAGCTATACACTAAAAAATAAGTATGAAATTAAAGTTGAATAATATTACAAATAATTGTTGAATGAGCATATAAAAATAATGATAAAAATTTAACATTTTCATGAATGATTGGTGATGCGTACAGCTGTTTTGAAAGTTAAATTTACTTTTTATGCAGACATGATAAATTAAAGTAGAATAAATAGGTCATAGTGTCATAGTGACCAATTTGGTTTCAAAATGAATATCAATCAGTCGGCTTAATAATAATATAGTGTGTGTATAGTAAATTCTGTAAAAGGTGTGATTATAAAAAATTTATCTGGAAAGACGTACAAATAGTTAAAGATCTGAGATAATAATAATAATAACTATTATTAAAGAATATTGTTTTTTTTTAAAATTTTAATCTTTTGCATAATCACAATCTATGAGTTTAAAAATTCATGACATTCTGAACAAATACGAACAGGTTTATTAGTAGCTAATCCTTCAATTGATTGCCAATAATTACAACATTTTGAACAGAATATATAACCACAACGACGACAATGATGACGTCGACGAATTAAAGTGAATGGACGATTGCATGATGCACAAGAATGACCAACTACTACATCATCATTATTATCCTGTTCATCATCATCATCAGCACCATTTTCTATCTTCAATGAATCAATTTGATTTTGATGATAAGATGGCGGTGAATCAGGTTGCCATGCTGGTAAATAATTGAATATATGATCAGTAGGATTTTGTGTTCCTTCAAATGAAACACTTAAATTTAATACTTGAAGTCTTTGTGAAAATGTGCCTTAATTATGGGGAATAATGGGAAACAAATAAAAATACTGGCTATTATTAATTATCTAAGATAGGAGATGACAACTAATTAAATTGTATGGTGAAAGTGAATAAAGAATACATACAAAGTTTGTAGGTCAGCAATTACGATTCCTAAACAGCCCTATGTATGTAGGTATTAATGCGAAGGATTCATTTAACTTGATTGCTTGCTTGCTTGCTTGCACGGTATTGATATGTACGCAACAGATAATATGTTTCGTCTGATATGAATTCTCTATTGTCAAATATATCATAAATATAATATTCCTCTTTAATATCTTACACGAACTCAGCATCTGACTACAGTCAAACGATTTGTTCAAATTTAAACGATAGTTTTTTTATAAATGTCCCACATGTATTTGTTGGAAATTTACTCAAATACACAACTGAAAATCTGATACTATTTGTTATGTTCGTCACTAGGTACGCTTGAAGCTATTACGAGTTCACCTTAGTCGATAAACGCGAACCAGACAATTACCAGCGTCCAGGTAGGCTACCTTGAATCTCGAACTGCAAAACAGAAGACTTGGTAAGCGTAGAAAGTATATTCTACAACACCCAGCAGTCAAAATACAATCAAGCACACAACTCTCGTTTATTTATACATCCTAGAAACGTCTTTGGGACAGTCACCAAAAATGGCACATTAAAATACACAGCAGCCAATCACAGCCATGGATTTTCCTGGTGGGAAATGAAATCTCAAGGTCAACTGATCAGCCCATGCTCGCAAACGTGGAATCCAAAATAAGGCATTTATCAAGCGAGTTCTGGGGATCTAACATCCCCAACACTATTTACCTATTAATAACCCGTAAAATGAAATGAAGATAATGTTAACTCTGGTCGAAGCACTCGACTACCAACTAGTAGGCTATATTATTGAAACTTTACCAACATTGATCTAGGTTGTTGAGTAGCGTTCGAAAGTGAGCATATACACCGGAACAATTTACGTTGTATAGTCAATCAGTCAGATGCAACGTAGAACTTCGTACGCATGTACATCAGTTCATGTTGCCATACCACATTAGCACAGAGACGCAAATGTCAAATCAAATCCCATAGTGATAAAGATAGTAGAGGTATTAATGGTAATGAAGAAGACTAGGGTTTGAAAATACTATTCAAGCAGTATAATTCAGTGAGATAAGGTTAGAAAGACGAAGGTAGAGGTGCTGACGAATCCAGAAGATTAGGATTTGAGAGAGCACAACGACGAATGGATGCACTTGCGCCATTGCAAACGGTTTTGAGCCATGTCATCCAGGCTGTATAACAAGTATATTACTACTCGTTTGCTTTTATGAATTACAAAATTTCCAAAAAAAAACAAAACAATCATACACACAGACTGCATACAAACTTACTGGTTTGATTATTATTATTATTATTATTAACCTGTGAAATTGAATTTAGATTTGACGATATCATCAATGTTTCAGCATCATTATTATCATTTAGACAAGCTGCAATATCTAAGCCAATCTCATCAACAATTTGTTCGGTACTTGTAGTAGTAACGTTATTACTAGAAGGTATGCTTTTTTCACTAACCACCACTACCATACCATCTGATGATATCACCTCAGTATGTTTATGGATTGTTTCTAGCGATTTTATAGAACAATCACTGGTTGTTGAATCAATCGAACAAGAATATTTATCATTATTATTGTTATTACTCCTAGTAGTACAACTTCGTAAATATGTATTAGACTCTTGAAATAATTTATCTACATCAAATTGATTTGGTGATGATGATCCTTTAGTACAATGATGATAATGATGCTGCATCACTTCATTCCAATTAAATAAATTAGTTAAATTATGAAGTTTGCTTTCATTTGCTATTAGGTCAAACATATTCAATTCTAATTCTTCATCGAATTCATTTTCTTCATCAATCAATAGTTTAGTTTTAATTTCTTCTACATTCTTATCAACAATATTATCTGTTTTATTGACAGAAGAGATTGTGTCGACGATTTGTGAATTAGTATTATCGTTGTTGTTCATAGGAGAAGAAGATGATGAGTTCGAAGATTCACATATATCCTCCATCTCATCACTAGTATCATGCATTTCAACTACTTTCTACAAAACAGAAAAAGGGAAATTTGTTTATTTGTCAAAAATCAATGATTTTTATGCTTACAAATAAGACGACTGGATATTTCTTTTTATTAAATCCCACTTTTTTCCATGTGTCTATCAAATCACAGACTATTCACAACCATAGAGTTTTAATTATGTGAGATTTTGGTTTGTATCAAAAATAGACCAATCAACTTGTTAATTAATCAACATAAATGACTACCAACCATAATTGGAATTCTGAACGCTTATTGGTTCAAGCGGCATTTTCCAGTGGCCAATCAAAATATGAAAACAATAAAGTTTTATCTTGTATTATTCTTACACGTAAAAGTCACATGACTCTGCAATATTAATATGAACAAAATACATCACAGATGAGAAAATACAATACACGACTGAGTAATAGGTGCATTGTCAATTTTAATGGTAATTCTGAAACGGTGACACATAATATTAACAGTTAGTGATTTAAATCAAAGATTAGAATTTAGAAAAATCGTAAGAAATACCATCATTCGATTGTTTTAAATGTGTAAAAACATTAATCTCCATAACTCTAATTGATAATATCGTAAAATGTGCTCACTAGTGACTAGCTTTGTGAGGAAATTCTCGGAGTTCTAGTGAGAAGACGTGACCAGTGGAGTTCAACCCTGTCGGGTGTATAGGCAGTAACTACCAAAGACAAATGGGTAAGGTCACGCAAAATACTTAGATCAATCAGAGTTAGACATTAACACCGTTGGATGCTGAACCAGTGGTACAATGGTTAGGCGTTCGCGCATAATACCTAAGGTCCCGGATTCAAATCCTGCGAGGTGCAGGAGTCGTGGATGCGCACTACTGATGAGTCTTCTCATACCAGGACTTGTCGGCCATCCAGTGCTTCCAGGTTTCTAATGGTGGTCTAAAAATGATTGATTGATGATTTCAAATGTGTTAAAAATATGGATCGTATTTTATCTGAAGAACAATTATGAAAGTAACACTTTCCATCTTATTTACTGAGGATCTGACAAGACTACTATAAAAATAAAAAGTAGATAACGGTAACTTTATAAAAAAAACATTCAATGGAATGTGTGACAAAAGTTTTAGACAAGTTGGAATGCAAATAATGCATATCACATTTTACTAACAACAGTACTGTTACTACTTCACCTACCCTGGAATTTGACTTGACAACTTGAACTGTTGTGATAACCTTGTTCATTAATATTTGTAATCCATCCCTTTTTATTCATGCTTCTAACAAAATTCTTAATATATATTCACTTTTTGATGGAGTTCTTTTATGCTTGCTCAAACTTCAAAACTCGACTCTAACTAAATAAGAATGTAAACTATTTTAGAATAGGATTTCATCTATTATAAGGGTTTGAATCTTCTTGTTGTTAATGTTAAGTACTGCAACAACGAGTAATTTCTTTTTGGCATCTATTCCTTCTAAAGTGGATTGCCTTAATAGTGACAGTGAGTTATAATCATTTGTCAACAAAGATTGGTAATGATTTGTTGTAATTTAGTAATAATTTTGAGACAGCTCACTCCGGATGTGTAAATATACCAACAGAGATTTTATTAAACAGTTCTTAACATCAACTAAGGAAAGATTCAAACTTTTGCAAATAAAATAAAGTTTATCCTCGATACGCAAGTCAATCATTGTATGGATTGAGTAGATAAGCAGATCTTTGAAGAGAAAAGCAGTTGACTTAAGGCTTAATTAGAGTATTAATGAACATTGAGATGGAAGTACGCATTGTTTATGAGTCTCAAATAGGACGTCTTAAACTCCATTCCTAGTCTCTATTAAACTTTAGCACTTCTTTAGACTAAACTGATCAAACAGACTCAATGTACATTAATTAGCTCGAATCCTCTCTTATTGAATATATTATCAAAACTTAGAACACTTACTTTTATCAACACATTTCGATATACACTAATCATCGATAATGTGTACAGTTAGAAAAGTACTGAATTAGTTTTTCTTATCTATACATATTAATTATCAACGAAACAAAAAAAACTCAGTTAGATCAAACAAAAAACAAAACGGTTCTTGATCACAGTTGAAGATTACCGTGCTTAAGGCAAAAAGGGAACTTTGAGAATGACATATTAGATGAAAAGTTTATATATATATATATATACGTATGAGCATACTTGTAAGATAAACCGTAACTCTGTAGGATATTCTCTAGCGAATCGATCAGCCACTGAAGAAATACATTTATACAGTCGATGTAATCCAGGAAGATACGTTTTCCATATATAATTTTTGTGATATGAAATGTTTAAGTGATTAGGAATTGAATTAGTTGTTGTTATAAGTGATAATAAAGACAATCGAGATTCATGAGGAGTATTGATAGTTGTCGTAGTAGTAGCTGTTGTAGTAGTTGCTTTCATTTCATTGTGTACTTCTTCTTGTAAAGTACAATTGGAATTTGTACATTGTTCGCTATTTGATAATAATCTAGTTGATAATTTTTGATTATAAATCAAATTCGGTAAACCATTTGGTCCAAGCCATCTAGTTAATCGACATAATTGATCTGGTCGAAGAGCATACAATTGTCGGCATAAATAGGCTAATTCCGAACGAGATGATTTAAACATGAATGGTAGACGATGACTAAAGAGAAGAAGAAGAAGAAGGAGTGTAAACGAAAAAAAAAACAATCAAACAGACTTTATCATTAAAAACTAAAATGAAGTGCGGAGGTTTTGTTAAAGGCTGGTTTAATTTACAGATTGTATTGATTACAGATTGATTTCAATTAGGAAACGATTGTATTGTTTCAACTCAGTATGAGACTCAATGAGTAAGCAGTCATAAGAATACCAAGGATCAGATTCACGAATGTTACGTCTCGTGGTGAACGCTTAAGCACTAGCATCATGACAATTGGCTTACCAATATAACTTATTAAAATGTAAATTCGAAGTCATATCTGATGATGTTAAGACGTAGGAGGAGCGAAACAATTATCACAATAATGGCATTTCATGATCGTTGCACCATGTAGTAAATTAATCAACGTCGAGAACATTTTACACAATGGCAATCCAGTGGTCCTAATCACTAAACATTTACCACAGGACCACAATGTCATGAGATCGCATTTCTGCTTGATAGTTAGTCAGCCAGTTACAATGTACAACTTCGTACATATGTACATCAGTTTAGGTTGCCATAACACATTAGCACAGACATGCAATCGTCGATTCAAATCTCATAGTGGTAAAGGTATTAGAAGTATGAGCAGTAGTCGGAAATTTTAGGATTCGACGATATTATTCAACAAGTAGAATCCAATATCCTAAAAGAATTATTGGTCAGTTCCTATTGGTTAATTCCTGCTAGTCAATTTTATGGTCGTCCTAGAAATCAATGTCACGTACTCCAATGATGTTTCTTATTGGTCGTTCTGTCAGTGTCACTCCGAATGTTGTTTTCTATTGGTCGTCTTAACTATGAATGTCATAGACTTCAATGTTGTTTCCTATTCGGCCTAACTGTATAAAAAATAAGCATTATCTGTAAAGCTTATGATTCCATTCCTTTCTGCCTTCCTCCATACTGTACTCGATCCCATAAACAACTTCATCTAACGGTATTGTGTTCTGATATATAGGAGATATTGGAACAGTACTGGGGTCGTATTAGAATATCTGAATTCGAACGTCGGTAGGATTTCAATAGCTACTTAACGTCATTGTAACAGTTGGCGACGGGGATGATATTCGAACCCACGTGGGGAAACCCCAATGGATTAGCGGTCGTCGAGAGTTAGTTGTTACATAACCGTCTTGTGAACAGTTTATTTTTACACATACCTGCGTTTTAAACAAATTAATGTGATTGAAAAGTTAATGTCGATATAAATGTTTATACACTGTTGAGGGGCGACACACAATCTGTCACTTGAAAAGATTTCGGGTGTTTCAAAAACACCTAGATCATTAAAAATCCGCCAGCGATTTCATAAATTTTTTTTGACAATATTAATTCACATGATTGGTACTTAGAACAATAAACAAATGAGAATCAATATAACTAATCTAGATAAACAATACCTACACCAGTCAGAATACATGTCCAATAAATTCATTAACAAGAATAGGTATACTGAATGATCATTATTTATTTAAAAGGTATGCAATAAAATTGTTTACAAATCAAACTATTCAATATAAATCTAACAAAATCAAATGAGATAATAAGAAATAAGAAGAAGAAGAGTAGACAAGATTATAATCATCGGGGTTCGAAATGCTGAATGAAGAATACTGTCGTCGATTAAAATGAATTTGCTTTTATTACTAAAATAAGTGATGGAACGTTGTACGATGTATTGTATTTTCAGTGATTGAAGAGTCAGTGTAGGTGGAAATATCAATCTACATATTTTCTATTCACCGTAATTGTGAATATGTCGTAGCATTGCGAGCATAAAGGCTTGCAATGCTAGGACAACAGAGGTTCATATGGCATCTTTGTGTATAAAACAAGATTCTTACACAGTAAAAAAGGTGTTTAAACGGAGACTACATCATAATGCTTATTGTCCTTTCAAATTTTACTTCACAAGCTATTCATCTTATGTTTCTTATTTGAAGCAATGATTGGAGTCAAATATACACAATACACAAGTGTAAAGTATGAATACAAAATTAGTCACATGAAAAGAAAAAATATCTACATACCCAACTGCCAAGCGATTAGAACCGATAAGAGAGTCCGGTAGTAGACGACAACCAACCAATATACTTAATCGTGGCAAAGCAAGTAAAACACATGGATCTCGATCGGCTAATTGTTGTACAGATAAAAGTTTCACAGTCAATGCCCACATTAAAGTTTCCGAGAATAGTACAGTGACTAACTGTGAAATAATAATTACAAAAGAAATACGATTTGAAAAATAGAATTCATGAAATATATAACACTAAAAGATGATCAGTTATAAAAAAATAATAATGATTTTAACTTATTTGTAATAGTTGTTTGAATGTTTCCGTCAGAGTCAGTCAAATGCAATGTAGAACTTCGTACGTAAGTACATCAGTTCATGTTGCCATACCACATCAGCATAGAGATGTAATTGTCTATTCAAATCTAATAGTAGAAGAGGTAGTAAGGGTATTAGAAGTAATCGGAGAGGTTAGGATTAGAAGATATTATTCAAGAAGTATAATTCAGTGAGAAAAGTTTAGAAAGTCAAAACTAGAGGGGTTGAAGAATCCAGAAGATTAAGATTTGAGAGAACACAAAGAATAAATGCACCGGCGCCATTGCGAACGATTTTGAGCCATGTCATTCAAGGTCTCTAACCATCGATTATTATCATCTCGCGGACCCCAACCAAGTAGTCGACAATTACCGACATGGCTAAGTCCACTCGTCAATGATTGTTTCCGTAATTGATGTTAAAGACTGAAGCTAATTAGTCTTTTTTTGGGCGAATTGTTAGGATATCCATCCAATATCCTATGAGAATTATTTGTAAGTCTAGTTCTGTGGGTCAATTCCTATTGGTGGTCCTAACTATCAATGCCACAGACTGATTCTCTTCTGAACTCGGACCTCGTACTTTCTGGATACTTGTAGAATACAGGTTATACTACATATCAAGTCTTCTTTATTTACTAAATGGGGGTTTGGGACGCTCGGATTAGAGTAGCCTGTTGTGTTGCTAAATCCTCGCTCTCGTTTTCCCACTAAAGTAAACTCGTATTAGTTCAAGTGTATCAACTGACGTGTTTACATGCATGCGTAACACATATGTAGATAGATCTAGACTGGATCGATCACTGTATTGTCATTAACTTGCAAGCATTCTAAACATTTAGCAATAGAACCCAGAATGAGGAATTTGATCTCGTTTGGAACTCATCATCTAGATGTGAGCGTTCAAATCAACACTATAACCCAGTATCTCTCTCTCTCTCTCACTAAGCGTCCTATATTAAATAAATGTTTGTGGTTTTCTATTTTGATATTCAAAAATTGCAAGTGTGTGTGTGTGTGTTAAAGATGTTTTTGTCCTGTAATTTAATATTTAAGAATAAATCAATTTTAAAAGTCATATGTTATTGGAAAGTGAATTGTTTTAAATTATTATTATTATTTGTATTAATTCATTGACAATTGAATTTAAATTATTCTATTTCAGACGAAAATGTCAATTATTTTTGAACTGACCGTATTTATATACATGTATATTGTGTCAATATTAAACAACGTAAACTACTTATTATTTACTATATATATATATATATATATATATATATATATATATATATATATATGCATGTACATTTCAAGAAACTTAGATAATCGTCTGACACAGATTGACCTTGAATGACATAATCAATCAACTTTACATTATAATGTGAATGATTAACGACAACCATTTGAATGATGCCCAGATTAGTTAAATATGTTTGTAACACACATGCATACGCATATACATACACACACACACACAGCCTTAATATTCATTAACATAGATACATAATTATTGATTTTACATAGTTATTTTATGATAGATTTGTTTTAATAGACAAAAAAAAAATAAAATTTAAAGTATGCATTACTTAATTATTTGATATGTTTATTATTTTTTTTGTGTGAAGAATATCATCATTGTCACATGATGATGAATACATATTTGGTGAATAGTAAAATTAATTATTATTTACAGTCATACACAATTTGAAATGTCTATTTTTTTTTAAAGATTGTTAGGTATATAAAGTAATGAGGTGATTTCTTTGCCAATAAATATAATATCATATATGTTAGTAAGATAGAACTATCACTAATTTATGTTACGATCACAATTAAACAAGAATCACTAGATCAATCAGAGTTAGACATTAACACCGTTGGATGCCGGCCCAGTGGTCCGATGGTAAGGTGTTCGCCTACAATGCCGAAGGTCTCGGGTTCGAATCCTGCGAGGAGCAGGAGTCGTGGATGCGCACTGCTGATGAGTCCCATACCAGGACGAAACGGCCGTCCAGTGCTTCCAAGTTTCTAATGGTGGTCTAACAATGATTGATTGATGACTTCAAATGTGTAAAAACACAAACCTCCAAAACTCTGCCACAAGGATACGTTGATCGACTCATTTTTAGCCAATCAGAGCTGATGAGTAAATGAATGAATGGAGAGGCTAGAGCATTCATTCATATGTAACCTAAAGTTTCAATTACTTTAGGATATATATATATATATATATATATATATTGGAATTTCAGCTAACAGAGATATCACAAGTTCTCACACTGCTTCATTAACTTTACAGTTCAGACAGAAGTATCGGTAGTGATAACATGAAAAATGTATAAATAATATAAACTTGACTATATAAGCCTGTGCATTTAGTAAATGTGTTTAAAAAGGAATATATCAATATTTAAAAGGTTAGAGGAAATGTATAGATCATCAATGTTTTACTTAATGACGCGCCTAGACTAAACACATGATACTAAGTGAAATTAAACTATAATAAAATGTAATAGATGTAATCTATTTTGAAAATTAACAGCAGAGTATATATAGATTAGCTTACTTTCGTTATAGAGAAATCCAATTTACTTGCATAGAAATTGCTGTTAAGAAGCACAGACTGTGCGTATGAGCGAGCATCTCTACCTAATGGGACAGATTATTTTAGTACATGAGCAACTTGCCTGATATAGGTTAAGGTAACAACCAGATCCTTAAATGTAATTTAGTCCTAGTAGTAATGAATATTAATCATTAGAAACATGATTATATTCTATAGTTCAGTTTGATCAAGACACTGAGAAAATGCAGAGTCTTCTGACTATCCTAAGCAACATTTCAAGCATGTTCGGGAAGCGATTCTCCCCCTCGAAATGCAAAATATTGCTCCAGGAATGGCTTGCGACAGCAGCTGGATTAATGATAGGGAGTGGAGTAGTTGAGCGTGCTAACCATTTCACTTGTCTTGGGAGTTTCATCAGTGCTGACGGTTTGGTGTAAAACCAAACCTCAGAACGGATACAAAAGGCTCGATCAGCTTTTGCCGAATCGCGTCACTTATGGCGTAGACGAGATATCCGTCAACTATCCAAAGCATGAGTCTACTACTCAGCAGTTCGCTCCATCCTACTATACGGATGTGAAACATGGTCAGTGAGAGTAGAGGATATTAGTAGGTTACTTGTATTCGATCACAGGTATCTTATCAGCATTGTTGCATATCATGGGACCAGCAAGTAAGCAATGCTAGGGTTAGAAAAAGGGCTACTATGTACGGATGGCGAATCCATTGATGGAGTAGTGAATCTTCATCAGTTGAGGTGGTTGGACATGTGTTGCGTTTACCCAACCGTTGACTACCTCAACGAGCGATGTTGATGTAGGGCTAGACTATAAGAAGATCAGAGGCGGCCAGACCGAAACATGGCGCAAATCCATGAAGTTACTGACAACTGAATTGAGCCATGTTGGTAGATGCAGACTACCTGTGTGGGGTCTGCGAGACGATAATAAACGATGGGTAGAGACTTTGAATGATATGCCTCAAAATCGTTTGCAATGGCGCAGGTGTATCCATTCTTTATCTTCTCGTAAATTCCAATCTTCTGAATTTTTTACGACCTTTTTTCGTTTCCCAAATCCATTTAACTAGATTATACTTCTCGAATGATTTCTTTGATCGCTAATCTTTTACAGTGCCGCTAATAATGCTACTACCTTTGTCACTATGGGACTCGAATCAAAAACTCTGTCTCTCTGTGCTAATTCAGTATAGCAAGTTGAACCAATGTACCAAGTTTTACGTTGCGCTAACTGACTAGCTGATTATATCCTATTGAGGTTTACTGGATATATCAGTCATGAAATAGAAAATTTAAAGAAAAGTTCACAAAGGCAACATTGAAACACGCTATTTGTAGGAAAGGAATAGGTTAGCGGATTCAACATGTTAGTAGATGGTAAATCAGCCCGTCACATATCATTTTAGTCAGCAAATATCATTTACGTAACTGCATGATAGCAAATTTAACGATGAAAATCTGTGCATAGTGTTTGGTAATGGAGGTCTCTTTAATTAAAAAGTCAATAAAGCATTCTGAAGTAACATCAGTAGTCTCAGAACGTTATTTTGTACATTAGAAGTGGGAAATTTATTCATGAGTTTCTGAAAAAAAGGATATTTAGAGGAGTGAATCTTATCAGGGTTAACATTTCTAAGTAGGAAAAGTTTCAGTGACAAAAGGATTTTATATAATAGTTTTATCAAAAACTTGAAATAAGATGAGAATAAACATTTATTACAAATTGTGACACAAATGTAAGACCATAAATGGTGAAACGTTTAAATGATATCCAGTTTAGTTAGACTGTCACAGAATTATTATTTAATTAGACGGATTCATTGTTGCGCTGAATTAAACTAATGTAATCAATATGACACTCTAATTAAGTTAGATATTTGCTAATAAACTTTATTTGTTTTTCTTAATCGAAATTCTGTATAACTTTCCAATCCTACAGATTTGTAAACAAATAATATTTGGTTAAGTTAACTTCAGAATGATGTACGTACGTACATCAGTTCAAGTTGCCATATCATATTAGCACAGAGATGCAATTGTTACTTCAAATCCTATAGTGGTAGAGGTAGTAGAAGTATTAGCAGTAGTCGGAAATTTTAGGATTCAACGATATTATTCAAGAAGTAGAATCTAATGAAATAAATTTGAGAAGAGAAAGATAAAGGTGATGAAGAACCCAGAGGATTAGGATTTGAGAGAACACAAAGAGTGGATGCACCTGCGCCATTGCAAACAGTTTTGAGCCATGTCATTCAAGGTCTCTAACCATCGATTACTATCATCTTGC